TACAAATACGACGCGTATTAAGCTGAAAGTAAAACGACGATATAAAAATGATCAACCTGTGTACGATAAATCTTTTCCATTGAAGAACAAATAGAATATCTATCGTTTACTTTAATACGATGCCACTGATGCACATATATGTTTTCTTCGTTTCTTTAAAACAGAAGTTATATCGCAGTAATGTATTAATGGCAAGTTTGAGTTCAATATATCGAAGACATTCCTGTGAAATTATAGACAATTATTTCTAAATTCTAAATTCTTGTCATTTAACAAATTTTTGAAATTTTTGTATTTCTCAGATTATATTTATTGAATATTTGATTTACGAAATTTAGAAAGTGTAAATTATCAATAACTCCGACTTTTCTAATTTATAATATGAATTTGATCTTCCAAACATCTGGCATCTTCCAACATCTTCCAATGAATGAATTCCAGGTGAATTCCATCAAATTCACAAATTGGAAAATTTCATAGTTTCATTCTCCTCTGAAGCCATTACAAAAATCCTGAAGCTCACAGTTTCCGCATTCGATATTTGAACAAATCGTGATTTCTCGTCACGAGCACATTTTTATTCGCGCAGGACATTCGTAAAATCGTATCCCATAAACCGTAAAACACGATTTTCCATCTTCCGCTGATACATCGTCAAAGTCGAAATATTACCAGAAGCGATTTCCCTTTTACGCGGGCATGAATAGTCTAACAACGTTCGAGAGTGTAACGACTGTAAGCATAATAAAAATCTGATCAATGGAGGCGGATGAAAAGTATGTTATATAAATCGTGAGAACATGACTGGCCAAGGAAGTCGAGACACGATGTGGATAGAGTAAAGGTTCTGATCGATAAGAAGCTATGGTCGCTTGGAATACTCTCGTGGCAGTGGAACCGTGCAGAATGCGAGATTGTGGGAAACGTCTGGAGCAACCGATATACATTCGAAGACGTCGAGAATTCCTTCTTCCAGGAAACATCGCTCCCTTCCCGAGATTTATACGAATATCTAACCCTCGGCCGCTGTTATATTACGCGAAATTCCACGTGGCTTTACAACGGAATTAAATAACTTCCTGTATTTTCAGATATTCAAATTTTTGGATGCTCTTATAAATTTTCAAAACGTATTATTAAACTTCTACACTCTTGAATTTGAGAACTTGAAGATTTGGGGTTTTTGAAGTTAAAGATTCTTTAATTTTTATTTAATTTTTAAGTAATATCAATTTAATCTTAATTTGGTGTTCATTTTATTTCAATGTAATTGTAGATTTTATTAACAATTTAATTACGAGTTCGAGTTCGAGTTCGATTTCAAGTTCGAGTTCGAGTTCGAGTTTGATATTGATTTCAAGTTCGAGTTCGATATCGATTTCGAGTTCGAGTTCGATATCGATTTCAAGTTCGAGTTCGAGTTCGATATCGATTTCGAGTTCGAGTTCGAGTTCGAGTTCGATATCGATTTCAAGTTCGAGTTCGAGTTCGATTTCTCGAAGTAATTAGTATTAAAATCGTCCTCACCTTGAAACGACTGTAAAATCTACAAAAGTCATCAATACATCCATTAAAAAGTACAAAATTAAACAAATAATGAACTAACCATCACCTTCAATAAAAGAAATAGAATTAATCACAAATATAAGTAAAATAAAACATTTTAAATCAATATAAAAAAAGTTAAACCTGATTATAAATATAAAATGTTAAATACTGACTGAACATAATTAACAATTTCCGTGTACATTTAAATAAAGTACACAGAAATGATATTTAAAATATAAGAGATCAAACATACGTACGTACAATATACGAGAATGATGAGAGATTGTTAGAAAGTAGAGAAAGTATGTAGATTTCAGATATTTTTTATTGTAGTCTGCAAAGCAAGGTACTATGAAGGCGAAAAATGAAGGGACTGTGAGTACAAATCCTTTTGCAGCACACAAAGACTTGGTTCTTGGTCTTTGATCTTACCAGTGTAATACACTTCCTCAATGAAAAGATGAGCAGACAAACGAATAGAAGAAACAAAGGATGTCTCTGCTCGTAAGGATCCAGGAAGATCAAAAAGGTCATTAGACTGTGAATTAAATTATTATAACAAAAGGACATTTAATCACTTCTTGCCTTTCATTGGAAAAATTTGAATGAGTCTGACATTTGCAATTTTTACGATTTGTTACATTTTGAGGTGAAGTCATTTCAGAAATATTAAAATATGAAGATATTTTTTGGGGAAGAAATTTAAGGATTTGTGAATTCTGGAAACGTGAGAAATATTTGAAGATTTTTTAATTCGAGTATTTTTTCTTTAATTTGGAAAATTACGAGTACTTATTTTAGTAGTAAATTAAGTATTATAAATAAAATTATGATTAATATTTAAAGTTTAAAGTTTTATAAAATTTAAAAACACAGATTTCAAGATTTTTAAATTTAAGAAACTGAGAGATCCTCAAGGTATCACAAACTTTAAGACCATTCCAATTAAACTCCAATTTCACTTCGTTATTAAATTTCCAGATAAAAAAACATAGCAACAAAAGCCCTCATTTTATAAAAAATTGTTCAACGAAACTTCACAATCGGAGTTCAGAGTAGAAACTACTAAAACTTCCAACAGTCTAAATTAGCCCAGATTATCGTTCGCAATGTTCATTAAAATATTAAAACTTTCATTTTCGAGCGACTCTTCACTTGCACACATTGTATCAGAAACTTTCGCCGACGAATATTAAAAGAAGATTTTCTATATAGCCTCTTTTTAGCTCAAGTACCGCACGGTGTCTGAGGCTCGTCGCTTAAGGCAAATTACGCTATGAATAACGAACTATGCTGGCCGAGACCTTGATGGTTTTCATCGTATGACCCAGAACTTAGCCCAGATTAAACATTTTCTGGAATCTGCGAAGCCTGCTATATTGAATCTATAACTTGCTGCATGACTAAACAAGAGATTTGCGGAAACTTTTTTTTTTAAGACAATTTAGAGTTAAAATAGATTAGCGAGTGTCTAATAAGTTAGATACACTTTGTTTACTACCGGTAGGAAATTTAAAAAAATGGAAGAGGAGTCATCGAATGAAACTTGTAACGCACGTGAGAAACCTAAATTTGCATAAACTTCCAATACCGATTTGTACAATTGATAAATTCAAAATATACCTAACATTTCAACGTTCTCTATTTATCTTAACTTGCACTATTTTCACGAGTCCGAGTGACGCACTCGAACTTCAGCTGTGATCAATTTCACTCGAATTTCGACTACGCTTCAATTTGGAGTTCAAGTCCAATTATTTGCACAGTCGATTGATACCAAATTGACATAACATTTCAACTTTCTTTGTCTGTTTTAATATTGTAGCTGTGATCGGTTCTGACTGATGCACCCGACAAATAAATCATAGGTTAACTGCAGTTATTAGGTTGTGAACCGCCAAAAAACTTGTTGATCAAGGTTAATATTTACTGGCATTACAATTTTTAAATAATGAATTGTAACTTTTTAAAGAATGTCGTTAGCAATATTAAGTGACGATTAAACGACGCGTGGACTCATTAGGATTCCCAGCAAGTGACTATAAGTGGACTGTATCTGAAAATTTCACTTCGAACGACTAGAGTTTTGCTATGTACTTGACCGATGTCTCTTCGAAGAATTTTTACGTTTTGCTGGGCGTATTTTTGTGACGTTGGTAAACAGTGTCTTTTGGTTTAGCTAAAATTCGAGTGGAGATGGAAATACAAGTAACATAGGTCTGCTTCCCTAAAGTGCAAGTCATAAAACCAAGCAATACCAAACCGCAAACTACTGCTAAGGTTAAGGGTTAACAACCAGATGCGAATCAAAAAATACTGGAATGTAATTCTTGAGTCTTACTGCTATTGATTTGAAACTACAAATTACAAAAAACCTGTAAACCGTCAAACTGTATCGTTAAAACATGCATCGAGGTTTAACCCCTCTGTAATATGCGTTGTAGACCTAATAAGCGATAAATAACAAAGTTGAAACATCTCGTTCCGATCGATAGACGCGGTGTCCAGAAAACGTATTAATCTGCTCGGTATCAATTTGCCCCGGTTTCCCGTAGATTATAAAAATGGCAGACAATAGGGAATTATGGGAAATTGACGCGATCGATGAGCAGCAACCGCATGTCCGTTAGAAAATTTATTAATGGCGAAGCTCGTGGTCGGCGCGCAGCGACTCGCTGGCTGCATAATTTACGGGGTGAAATAGCGGCGATGCCCGAAGAACGAATTTCCCTGGTACCTTGAAACTTTTCGTTTGTCTTTGAATTAATCTCGCTGGTAATTCGTTAACTTCGTTAACAACGCGCTGAAATGTTGCTTATCGAGTACGCTCGTTTGTGTTGAACGCTGGAGCGGCCCGGCAATGAACAATATTTGAGCTTGCATTTGCAATTTTCATAATGCATATCGTTTAACATAGATATACTCCGCGCAGTATGTTCGTTTTAATTGGATACGGTGAGGTAGCTTGGCTAGAAAACGTAAAAGATATTCTTGTAAAAATTTTGATTAATTTGGATTAATGCTAATATGTGATTAGCCGAATTCTTTTGGTTTAGGTAAAATTCGAATGGAGATGGAAATGCGAGTAGTAGATCTTTCTCAAAGTGCAAGTAATACCAAGCAATACTAATAGTAAACTGCAAACTACTGAGGTTAAGGTTTCACAAGATGTGACTAACAAACCAAAAATACTAAACTATAATGACTCCTTGGGTCTTATTGATTTGAAGCTACTGAAGGAAAAACTGTTAAAGTGTCACTAAAAACTTGTAAGGTCCACTCCTCTTTCTGTAACATATGTTCTACAATATGCATTTTACAAGCAGATTAAACTTTCCTAAAGAAGCAATTAAAAATCGACCGAATTCCCGCCAATTTCTCACCACCATATTCCCGACATATATCAACAATATCTTTCTCCACAAAATAATGAAATGAATATTCTGTTGCAGGTGATACTAGTAAAGTGGAACGAGCCTTACCAGAAGTTGGCCTCCTGCGACAGTTCAGGTGTCATCTTCGTTTGGATCAAATATGAAGGAAGATGGAGTATAGAGCTGATCAACGACAGGAACATCCCAGTGACACATTTTTCCTGGTCACACGACGGTCGCATGGCTCTCATATGCTACAGGGTAATTCAACTTTTAATTATGTACATCGCTTTTGACACCAAATTTATTGGCAAGACTCGTTGACCTTTTAGGTTATAATTAGAAAACGGATGCTCATGCATTTGTGATACATCGACGTCTACCAAGTATATCATGCAGTTTACGACCGCGGTATATAGATCATACATGATTTATGGACACCTTACCGGCAGCGATATATCATAAATGCATAAACATCCGTTGACTGCTTAAAATACAAAGCCGTCACAGATTTTGGTCGGAAACAATTTTATTTATATATTCGGGCCAATCTATTCCTTGCTTGTATTGCTAATTTAATTTGTTAGATGTTGAGGAAGCTGGATGATGTGTTTTAGTTTTATGGAACAAGGTTTACTGTAATTTTAAATTTACTGTAACAAGATATTTTTTAAATATCTGCTTATACATCAAGTTTAGAAACAGCAATAAACAGATATTTATATTATTGTATAATTATGTAGTATATCAAGTATTTATATTACTAGTATAAGCCACTAAGTGCACCCATAAAATATAACGACAAAATGGAAGATTCACACCAACCCCTCTGTTGATTCAGTATCGAGGCGATAATTTCATAAAATTCATTGACAGAAAATGTTAACCGAGTGCCAGGGCAACAAATGGAAAGAAAACGAACATAACTGATCAATTCTCGTGGTATTTGGACGAGATCCAATTCGCAGCGTAGCCTCCACCTCAGAAGCGCATTATATTCGGTACTTTTAAATCGACGATTGAAAATCTAACTGCGGGTCCGTGATTCGGTAAAGATTGAGCCCGGTTCGGTGAATGCTGGCAATAGGAGAAATTTTTATGAAAAATCTGCGACAAGGAGGCAGGAGATAAAATTGAGTCGATGAAATGGCGCGGACGCGACAGGAAATAAGCATTGAATTTCGAAGCGAGGACAGTTGAATGACAATACGTTCGGTCGAGTGTGTATGCGAAGTGAAATGATTATTCCACGGGGAATGCAAACGCGTGGAAACTCGAAGTAGAACTCAAATAAAGCGCGAATTGTGTACACACCGTAGGTGTGCGGTTCAAATTAAAAGTAGAGTGCGCTGAAATATCGATAAGCTGAACGTTGCGATTTCAGCTTCGGAGGCTGCGAAATGGCGGAGCTATGATACAGCGTGTGGTAATTAGGTATAAATATTGTAGAAACAAGAACATTATCGTCAAGCACTTTTTAACGGAAGATGAGTTTCGGAATTTTTTATTACTACGTTAAGAATCGAATTTTGTATTGGTCAAGATTTAAATTTAATTTATTACGAGTATTAAACATTCACCAGTAATTTTCTACTTGACTTTCGGAGGAGTTTAAATAATTTTCTAATTGGAAAGCAAAGTTTAACTTTTATTCTCAGTCAGGTCATATTTAGGGTCAATTTTTGTTGATCTGGGGGCCAAGGATTAATTTCAGTTTAAGATGTTTTTTAGTAACAATTAAAACTTTTTTCTATAAGCTCCCAAATTTTTATATCACTAAATTTCAAAATTCCCATCGCCTCAAAATTCCCAAATCCCCTTATTTTCATTAAGTTCCCAAACCCCCAAATTTTTATTGTGACAAAATTCCCAACCCCCCAAATTTGTAGCGTGACAAAATTCTCAAATCCCCAAATTTTCATGGTCCGCAAAATTCCTAAATCCCCTAATTTTCACCAAGTTGCCAAACCCCCAAATTTTTATCGTGACAAAATTCTCAAACCCCCAAATTTTCATGGTCCACAAAATTTCCGAATCCCCTAATTTTCATCAAATTCCCAAACCCCCAAATTTTTATTGTGACAAAAGTCCCAAACCCCCAAATTTGTAGCGTGTCAAAATTCTAAAACCCCCAAATTTTCAAGGTCCACAAAATTTTCGAATCCCCTAATTTTCATCAAATTCCCAAACCCCCAAATTTTTATCGTGACAAAAGTCCCAAACCCCCAAATTTGTAGCGTAACAAAATTCTCAAACCCCCAAATTTTCAAGATCCACAAAATTCCCAAATCCCCTAATTTTCATCAAGTTTTCAAAGCCCCAAATTTTGATCGTGACAAAATTCAAAAATAAAAACGCACCGAAATGATATACAAATTTGATATGCAATGACTAAGAAAAATTATTGTTAAACAACGTGATAAAGAAAAAAATAAATTTCTTTTTCAGGATGGTTTTGTACTGGTTGGCAGTGTAGCAGGTCAAAGGTATTGGTCATCGATGTTGAACGACAAAGTCACAATTACCTGCGGAATTTGGACACCAGACGATCAGCAGGTAAATTAAATTGTAGAAATTGTACAATTAAATTATTGCAATGTAATATAAATTCGTTGATTCCGAGAATCATTTAGCAGAAATATTTTACAATACTATTTTATCGAAATTTAAATACATCAATTTTGAATTTTAATTTAATACACGAAATAATAACTAACAATTTAATTCTAATTTAATTTAATTTTCAATAGTGCAAATGCCTTTCACCACTTGATCGTGTTTTTACATTTATTCAAATTTTGTTTACGACATTACGATTACCTGGGATCGTAGTAATGTCATATATGGATCAATTTATATCCCGTATTAATTCGCGTCAAACGTGCGAATATTTATTGAAATAAACGTCCACGTACAGTGAAAACCTGATATTTTGAAACGCAATGAATACACGCCCACACGCCTTTTATTGCAATTAAACGTTTTTAATATTTGATTATAAAGCGATGCTGTTGATTGCTACGATACGATCACACGTTTTCGTTGCACGTGTACTATTTGTACGGAATATATTGCGTAGAAATAATTAAGAGGTTTATTTGTGTATTTAACTCTTGCTGCGTTTGAAGCTTTACTGTAGTGCAGAGATTTATTTGAATTTATAAGTGTGGGAGGTGTTTGAGAAGTTTAAAATTGTTAGAAATAGTTAAGGTTTTTAAGGAAGTCAAATATTTAAATTGGTTAGTTGGAAAATAGTTAGTTGGCAAATTTTATATTATCAGATTTTCAAATTGTTTAGTTGGAAAATTTCTAGTTGGTAAATTTTATATCGTCAGGTTTTCAAATTGTTAAACTTTCAAATTTTAAAGTTAATTTCAAATTTTCAAATTGTTAAATTGTCAAATTGTCAAATTGTTAAATGGTCAAATGGCCAAATGGTCAAATTATGAAATGATAAAAATGTCAAATGGCTAAATTGTCAAGTCGTCAAATTGTCAAATGATCAAATTGTGAAATTGTGAAATTGTGAAATTGTGAAATTGTGAAATTGTGAAAATGTCAAATGGTCAAATGGTCAAATGGTCAAATGATCAAATGGTTCAATGATCAAATGGTCAAATTATGAAATAAGTAAAAATGTCAAATGGTCAAATTGTCAAATTGTCAAATTGTCAAATTGTCAAATTGTCAAATTGTCAAATTGTCAAATTGTCAAATTGTCAAATTGTCAAATTGTCAAATTGTCAAATTGTCAAATTGTCAAATTGTCAAATTGTCAAATTGTCAAATGGTCAAATTGTAGAATTGTAAAATTGCCAAATTGTCAAATTTTCAAATGGTCAAATGATCAAATGGTCAAATGGTCCAATGATCAAATGGTCAAATTATGAATTAAATAAAAATGTCAAATGGTCAAATTGTCAAGTCGTTAAATTGTCAAACGGTCAAATTGTAAAATTGTAAAATTATCAAATTGTCAAATGGTCAAATGACTAAATGGTCAAATGGTCAAATGGTCAAATGGTCAAATGAACAAATGGTCAAATTGTGAAATGGTAAAAATGTCAAATGGTTAAATTTCAAATTTTCAAATGTTCAAATGTTCAAATGGTCCACTCATCAGGTTGTTAAATTGTCAAATGGTCAAATTTCTTATGGTTAAACTATTAACTTATGAAATTGTTTAATTGTCATATGGTTAAACTGTCAAAACGGTGAAATTATTAAATTATTAAATTGTTGAATAGTTAAATAGTCAAGTCATCAAGTGACCAAATGATTAAATGATCAAATGGTCAAATTATCAAATGTCCAAATAACATTATTAGCAAAATTACAAACTAATTAAACAATGACTCTTCCTTTAAAAAACAATGAAACCCAAACAATACAGCTATAAAACCTTTCTAATTAAACCTCTTAAAATTGAATAAATCTATTTTGAAGGTGAAAGGTGTATTACAAGAGGCAGGTAGCTTTAGACTTAATACCTCCTAATTAATTCGGTGAACAATAAAGCATACCCTTATTAGCAACGACATACATTAGCACAGAATATCCCTCATTTACTGCTGCGTCCTTAAATACATTATATATCATACGTGAAAGACGATACACCGATATCTGTTTGAAATCTTGAAGCACTCGCATTATTACGGCATAGTGTTACAGTCCATCATAGTTGTCAGAGGTCCATTATATGGTAGAAACTTTCTCATCGTCGATAAAAGGTTCGTCATATTGGTTTTGTCAATTATTGCGACACATAGCAAGCCATTAGTGCTTTGTTCAAATGGAGACGATAAAAGAAAACGGAGAAGAGGGTATTAATAGTATTTATAGGATTGAATGACAACATGGGACGTACAGAGATTCGTGTCAGTGGTGTGTGACTGAGTAGCCGCGTAATAGTGACTTTCGAGAGTAGTTTAATAGTACGGGTAGTACAAATTCCCTGCGGATAGTTCTAGGGAATTAAGGTTCAAAGCAAAGAAAGTGGGAGTAAGATTTTGTGTCACGAAATTTGAGATACACAAAATTTTTAACTTTTATTTCTTGAGATCAATTTATGAATTGAGATTTATACATTATGGCGAAGTTGATTGAATTGACGAAACTAATGAAACTGATAAAATTCGTAAAACTGATGAGGTTGAGCAAATTGACGAAATTGATGAAATTGATGAAATTTATAAAATTTATAAAATTGATAAAATTGATAAAATTGTTAAAATTGATAAAACTGATAAAATTGACAAAATTGATAAAATTGGAAAAATTGATGAAAATGATAAAATTGATAAAATTGGTAAAATTGGTAAAATTGGTAAAATTGATAAAATTGATGGAATTGATGGAGTTGATGAAATCGATGAAGTTGATAAAGGCGACAGAATTCGTGAAATTTCTGAAATTAACAAAGTTAATGAAATCAATGAAGGTGATAAAATTGATGAAATAAATGAAACTGAAGAAATTGAGGAAATTGATGAAGTTGATGAAATTGAAGATGTTGGAATTTACAAAATTCATAAATTTTCAATGATAAAAGTTGCCATATTTTTATATGTTCCAATTCTCTAAACTTCCTAACTATGAAACTCCCAATTACAGAAGCTGCAAATTTTCTAAACTTCCAGATTGCCATATTTTTGTAGTTCTAAATTCCGGAATTTTCATATTTTCAAATACAAATGTGTCTAAATTCAAAAATTACTAAATTCCCAAATTCCTAAATTCTCAAACCCCCCAATTTCCCAACTTCCCCAATTCCCATATTCCCAAATTCCCAAATCTCCAAATTCCTAAATTCCCAAATCCCCAAATCCCTAAATTTTCAAATCCCTAAATTCCCAAATTCCTAAATTCCCAAATCCCTAAATTCCCAAGTCCCTACATTCCTAAATTCTCAAATTCATACATTCCTAAATTCCCCTATTTCCTAACTACCCAATTCCTCAATTCCCAAATTCCCAAATTCCCCAATTCTCCAATTCCCCAATTCCCCAATTCCCCAATTCCGTAATTCCCCAATTCTCAAATCCCAAAATCCTAGAATCCCAGAATCCCAAATTCCCAAATTTCTAAATTCCCAAATCCCTAAATTCCCAAATCGCCAAATCCCCAAATCTCCAATTCCCCAAAATTCCCCAATTCCCCAATTCCCCAATTCCGCAATTCCCCAATTCTCAAATCCCAAAATCTTAGAATCCCAGAATCCGAGAATCCCAAATTCCCAAATTTCTAAATTCCCAAATCCCTAAATTCCCAAATCCCCAAATCCCCAATTCCCCAATTGCCCAATTCCCCAGTTCCGCAATTCCCCAATTCTCAAATCCCAAAATCTTAGAATCCCAGAATCCGAGAATCCCAAATTCCCAAATTTCTAAATTCCCAAATCCCTAAATTCCCAAATCCCCAAATCCCCAAATCTCCAATTCCCCAAATCCCCAAATCCCCAAATCCCCAAATCCCCAAATCCCTAAATCCCCAAATTCCAAAATCCCCAAATTCCAAAATCCCTAAATCTCCAATTCCCCAAATCCCCAAATCCCCAAATCTCAAAATCCTCAAATCCCCAAATTACCAAATCCCTAAATCTCCAATTCCCAAATTGCCAAATCCCCAAATCCCCAAATTTCCTAAAATTCCCCAATTCCCAATTTTTCCCCAATTCGCCACTTTCTACATTGTCCGCTTACATTATCACCATTCCTCACAGAGTAAATATTTTTAGTTAAAATATCATTCACCATTATCCACCACCTGTTGCCACCTATCAAACAACAGGAAGCCTGCTCCCAAAAATTTGATTAAAACGATCTCCTATCTGCACATAGTCGATGAGCACTAAAATCTACATTCCACTTCAAATCAAACGGACCCGTAACACAAAAATTAAAACAACTTCCGATAACAAAACTTCAACCTCGCGATCATTCTATCGTGAAATTGGGATTCCAAACAATCTTCGTTCCACAGTTTCCTTCTTATGAAATTCAACTTGGAATTAATTTTGTTCCTTCTCCGAACAATCACACAACTTTATTTCGTTTATTTCCGCTTTGCAATCTATTGTAAAATTTAATTAAAGAAAACTTCGACACCTGAATTTCAGTTTGGTGGAATTTAATTGAAAAAAGAAGAGCAACCCCGGAATTCGCTCGTGAGATCGATTTCAGAACACTTTTAGCTCCATCATGAATCCAAAATTGATTCGATAAAAATTGATTTTCCGTGTAATTTAATTTCGAAGTAGATTCATCACACTTTACTTACCATGAAGCTCACTTTTATATCTCGTTAAGGATTTATAGTCAGTAAGAGGTTTATCGTGGTTTTTTATGTTTCTAGTAGATTTTATTGGTTTGACTGATTTACCCCAGAAAATTACTGAATTGTGCGAAGTTTCGAGTTACGACTTTGTCAGTTTGTGAACAACCATCAACGTGCACCACCTGCGCCATAACCAAAGTATTCAAATTGTTTGTAAAGCTATGAGACACGTGACGTAGTATATAGTTGCTTACGTTATTCGTATAGCCTCTTCTGGGACGCTACGACATTTTACTATATTACTGTTTTGTTATATCGCCGCGTATAGCGTTACTGATGTGTATTCGTGTGACGTGTAGACACGTGATGTATCAACATGTGTTTTAAATTTACATGGTACATCGATTTATTTATTATATTCTGGGCCATATAACCGTGTGTTTTATTGCAATGCTTGCTGCATTGCAATGCTATCGCTAGAAATAATATTTTTATTTTTTTTTATTCTCTATGCATTAGATTTTCCCACGTTGAATTTTTCGTGTATTGATCGCCTATCATTTCGATTTTTCACGCGTTAAATTTTCCATGCGTTAAATTTAACTATTAATAGATTTTCTAGGCCATAGATTTTTCACGCGTCAGATTTTCCAGATAATAGATTTTCCACGCGTCAAATTTTCTATTTCTTAGATTTTCCACGTATTACATTTTTCAACTGTTAGATTTTTCATGCGTTAGCTTTTTCTATTAATAGATTTTCCATGCGTTAGATTTTTCACGCGTTAGATTTTCCTATTAATAGATTTTCCGCGCGTTAAATTTTCCAGGCGTCAGATTTTTCTATTAATAGATTTTTCAAGCATTATATTTTCCTAGTGATAGGTTTTCCACTCGTTAAATTTTGTATACCTTAAATTTTCCACATGTTATATTCTCCACCTGTTAGATTTTCTATGCGTTAAATTTTCCATGCGTTAGATTTTCTTATTAATAGATTTTCCAAGCATTATATTTTTCTATTGTTAGATTTTTCACGCGTCAAATTTTGTGTCTTAGATTTTCCACGTATTGTGTTTTCCACACGTTAGATTTTCCTAGTAATAGATTTTCCTGGCAATGAGTTTTCCTCGCATTAGATTTTGCACGCATTAAATTTTCTATCCATTAAATTTTTCTAATACTAAATTTTCCAATTTCTAAACTTCTCACACATTAGATTTTCCAACACAACATTTTGCAACACAACTTAAAAATATCAAATTTATATTCAATTTTAGTTTTATGATTCCATCTAGGTTGGATTTATATTTGACTTCAATAAAGTTTAATTTTAATAACATCTCAATTAAACTTGATTTCAATAAACTGTCAATTAGATGTGACTTTATATAGCTATCAATTAGATTTGGTTTTAAATATCTGTCAATAAGATTTGATTTCAATTAAATTTTAATCACGTTTGATTTCACCTAGATGTCAACCAGAGTTGATTCCACTTAAATTTCAATTAAATTTTTACTGGAATTCAATTATACATTAAAGACTTGAATTTATTATATTTCTATTTTCATAACGTTTCATAACTGTAACTAACTCAAACTTACATATATAATTTAATTAAAGCATTTTTCATTTCTTTCAAAAATATAAATTTAAACATTTTTTTTCAAAATGTACATCTTTCCAATAATATGTACTATTATTAATAATTACTAAAAATGAGATATATTACAAAATTAAAGGCATTTTTCATTTCTTTCAAAAATATAAATTTAAAACTTTTAATTAATTTTAAATTTATTAAAATTTTAAATTTTTTAATTTATTAAAATTTATTAAAATTTATTACAATTTTAAATTTTGATAAATTTAAAATTTTTTCTTTCAAAGTAGTTATCTTTTCAATAATATGTACTATTATTAATAATCATTAAAAAATTCATATATAATTTAACTAAAGGTATTTTTCATTACTTTCAAAAATGTATAAATTTTCAAAATGTACATCTTTTCAATAAGACTATTATTAACACCAGAAAATACTATATCAAGATTAGCAACCTTAATTACACAATTAAGTATATAATCTTCATAGTCAAGTTTCATAACAAAACGACGCAGTATGAGGCCACTCGTTATATTGCCTACTCATTCGAAGATTACTCCACCACCCAAACCAACTCATATGGACACTAAATTAAGCCATAATATTGCCATAATATAACTTTATGCAATAGTTAACCCATAACGGTTCCCATGTATTTGATATCAACAGGTATATTTCGGGACAACAGCTGGCCAATTAATAGTAATGGATGTTCACGGTGCTATGGTGTCTGAAGTGCAGCTTGCAGCTGGTGTCACATCGATGGCGTGGAGCGCGGAGAAGTTTACGATGGAGGAAGGAGATGACGATTTAACGAACGGCAGATCTCACAGAGGTAATATAACGTGTACTGCTACGTCTTATAAAACGACATCTTTCAATTTTATGTGATGGCTGCATTTGAATCGCAGTTACATAAAATGCTTAGCGTGATCTCGTGTTCAGATTTGTTTCCGGTGATACTGCATCTTTGTTGCACGACTTTATCGATTTTGTACAAGGTTTATGGAGAATGTTTTTTCGTAGAGTTTGCATGACACTGGTTTTTTATACAGTTTCATGAAAAATGTGTTTTTAATGAAATTTTATGAGAAATATTTTTTTAATGCAATTTTATGAAAAATGTGTTTTTGGTACAATTTTAAGAGAGATATATTTTTAATGCAATTTTATGAGAAATGTATTTTTAATGCTATTTTGTGAGAAATGTATTTTTAATGCAATTTTATGAGAAATGTATTTTAAATGCAATTTTATGAGAAATGTATTTTTAATGCAATTTTGTTAGAAATAGTTTCAATATAATTTTATTGCAAACATATTTATTAGGTCGTTATACTAAACATTCATTTTTAATATAATTTTAGTAAAACTTCAGTTTTAACAATTTTGTACAAAAACTCATTTTTAATAATTTTGTGCAAAAACTTATTCTTAATAAAATTTTACTAACAATTCAATTTTAGTATAATTTTTACTAGAAATTTATTTTTAATAAATTTGTGCGAAAACTCATTTTTAATAGAATTTTACTGAACATTCATTTTTAGTATAATTTTATTAGAAATTTATTTTTAATGAATTTGAACAAAAACTCATTTTTAAGAGAATTTTACTAAACATTCATTTTTAATACAATTTTACTAAAAATGCATTTTTAATAATTTTATACAAAACCTCATTTTTAATAGGACTTTACTAAACATTCATTTTTAGTATAATTTTACTAAAAATTGATTTTTAATAATTTTATACAAAAACTCATTTTAAATAAAATTGTATTAAAAATCAATTTTGAATAAACATGAGAAAAAATTCTTTTATTACAATTCTATCTAAAATTCATTTTAATATAATTTTACCCAAAGCACGTTCTTAGTACAATTTCATCAAAAATGCTTTAAAACACAGTTTTATCAAAATCACATGTCTAGTACAATAAATTCATTTTCTAACTTTCGAACGCTAGATGTGCATTAAGATATAAATTATAAACGAGAACCGAGGAAACTATGAAATATGTGACTCACCAATGGTTGACTTGTACTACTGCACTTGCATGGTAGAGGTTGACCCAAGATTGACCCAAAATTGACCCATGGTTGACCCACGATTGACCCACAGTTAACCACGCTTCTTATATTACAGTATCAGCACTGCCCATCGCATATTTTAGATGCAATTTTACATCTTTTAGATCGCATAAAGGAATGTTGTCCTTAATGACCAACACTGTTCTTCAAAGAGTATTTCCTGGAAATCGAACAACGATGTTTTTCATTAATTTATGTCTGCGACGATATATACTTTTGATATATTGCAGAAAACGTATTTGTACAATTTTACGTATTTTTTTGTAATCGAACATTTATTTAATAAAAAGTAAAATAGTTATTTAATTTGTTACACTTTTACTTCTTTTACTTCTCATTAAACTTTTGTATGTTTAAGCAATTATTATATCTTTGCATATACATTATTATTTTTTATGACAAATGGACATTTTGTTGATATAATAAATTTGTTGATGTACAATTTGAATAACTTGTCTGTTACATGTATTACATCACATGTGTTATTGTTACATGTATTATTCGTTATATAATTTATGTTAATTAATTTTTATGAATTTGTTATAAAATTTGTATATATTTACATATAATTATACAAATATTTTATTTACAATTTTGTATAACAGACATCAAACTATATATCTTTAATTTCATATTTTTATTATCTTATTTAATTTGCCACATTTTTAAGCAACATTCATAAATTAATTATTGTATTTTGTTTCTGTATATTAATACAATTTTTTCATTTGAAACTATGACTTTCAGTGTGAATATAAAAGTACATTTTAAAATTGTAATATCATACATTATACATTACAGTAATAATACATATATGCATACATATATGCATGTGTGTATATTGCAGTTTTATAAAATTGCAGGATATTGCCTTTTTACCCTCGTTTTTACTACAGAATAATATTAATCATGTAAAAGACAATACGAGAAAGTGACCTTTCACCACAGAGCTATAGCAATTACAATAGTTCAGAGAGTTCCGATGCTTTTAAAATAAAAACCGACGTAAATCTGAGTTCTTCCGACGCATTCTTGGCAGATCACGAGCAAATGTGGGCGGCAAACGACATAAACGAGAATTTTTCGTGCTGAGTCCTGAATTTTGCATACGTCCTGCACAAACCTACTGCACGAAGGAATACAGACATGCACTGCGGAGGCGTTACTTGTGACCTTGATTTAAAGAAACCACAATCCCATAACTGTAATCTGTAATCTAGCACCCTCGTAAACTCTCGACAATAACTGTAATTTGTAATTTGTAGACGTGAATACAGGTTCTCTTTCGTGTCCCAACAAATTTATTGCTTTGACCTAAAATTAATTATTAATTAAGTATACTAGGGACTGTAATTAATTACATTGAATACTCTTATAATTATATTAAATGTTACATAATTGTGTGCATAGAAAAAAAACTACGTGAAATCATTTTAAAAAATTACAATTATTTTGCAAGTCATATGCACATCAGCAAATATTGATATTTCATATTTTTATTAAAAAAGAAATATTTCAAAAGGTGGTTTGTTCATGCAAATATTTCTTTATTAAAAATTAAAACTATTTGTTAAGAGTTGAAAAAAAGTTGTGCAACTAAAAGTTAAAGATAAGTTAGATATTCAAACTATATAAAAAGCTAAATTATATAATTAAAAGTTAAAACATTGTAAACTGCAAACTTATCGCAAAATTTATGGCCAGTAATTAGATACAATTTTTATCACTATCTAAACATTACCATATTCACCTAGAAAGCATATAATTTGTATCCATTTTAGGTTAACACAGCCAGTACTGTAATTACTGCCAAATAACCCCCACACCTACATTTATAAAAATGAAATAAATTAACCTAAATGTTTACATAAAATTTTAGATAAAAATTTCACTACTGAATTTTATTTAAACTTCAAGTTAACATTGTAATAATTTTCGTTTATATTTTATAATATTTCGTTTCAATACATCCCTTATCAAAGTAAAGACTAATGGACCTAGTCTAACAGACCTAGATCTAATTATACCACATAAAATATCCAAACATCAATACTCTCAAATCGATCGTAAATTTCTAAAATCAGAAAATAAATCGTATATTTGCAGACGATCGTAACTACGTGCTAGCAGTCTGCCTAGCAGACGGTAACATAGTGATGCTGCGTTCGTTCGACGACGTGTCTCCCATCACGATTCGTACGAACCTAAAGGCCCCCCTGCACGCAGAATGGAGCAACTCCCGAAAGCTGTTAGCGATCGCCGGAACGAAGGAGACCGACATTTCTCAGGGCACCCCGCACGAGTATACGAACCTGTTAAAATTTTACTCGGTCACAGGCAGCCTGGTGTACACCACCGCGATACCGTACACGCAAGTACGTACCTTTTCTTTCCTCAAAGCTTATCCGAGCGGTATCGTAAAGCGTGTTATTTTCTTGCCCTTATCGACGTTAGTGTCCGGTATCGGCGCTCACGTGGGGCCACAACGACAGACGGCTTTTCGTGGCGACCGGCGCTCGCGTTCACGCCGCATGGGTGTCAAGGTAATAACGCCTCCTTATCTGACCGTTTCTCCTTTCGCTAACTGTGCTCATACTAAAGCGTTTGGTGCACGATCCACGCGTTCCGCAGACGAGTAGGTTCGCTGCAATTGTTGTCTCGTTTAGCCGTGAGGGCGGCGCTCACCAGGGAGTCCAGCGTCCAGCAACTTCCGTTGCCCCCGAGACTGAGAGCGTCCGTTGCCGCCCTGTTCGCTAGCACGATAAGGTGAAGCTCGAATCAGCGATCTTAATCGCTTCCTAATCACGCGAAACTATGCATATCGTATCCGCAGATGTCCGGTCCCGGAACCCAGGGAGCTAAGGCGTTTCGTGTCGCGTCCCCCTCCGGGAGGGAGGCTATACTGCACCATGCTCAGACACGCGGTGGAACCCGTGCCATGCTACACGCTGTACTTGGAGTACCTGGGTGGATTGGTGCCGCTCCTCAAAGGAAGAAGAACGAGCAAGATCAGACCCGAGTTCGTAATATTCGACCCGCAGAGCCAGGACACTCTCCAGATCGTCGAGGATACGTCGCAGTGCCCGTCGTTCAGTGACGGATCCGACACGGAGAGGGACACTGCCGACCTGTGCGGGTCCCCCAGGAATAAGAGGAAAAACCGGAGGAAACGGGAGGACAAGACGAACGAGGAGTCGGACGACCTCACATATGTGGACACGTTACCCGAGGTAAGGTATCCCGAAACTGCGGTAATCCTATTAAAAATTTCGTGGCGCTACACACCGAATTGCCTTAAGAAGTCGCGTGACGCGGCGATATTTAACGAGCCCTACGAGTCCTAGGGAATTGCGAAGCTATTCGCGTGACCGCCAGTGTCGCAAGACGTATCTGTTTGCAGCACGCGAGGTTGGTCGAAGTTACGTCCAATATCTGGGGCACGAAATTCAAGTTCCACGGGCTGACGGATTCGGTACCCGCTAACCTGGGTCAGGTTACTTATCGGACGTCGTTGTTGCATCTACAGCCACGACAAATGACCGTGGTGATGACGGAGCTTAGGGACGACGTGCCCGCAGGTGCGTTTTAGGACGGTGTAACGGAAAGACCCGATTAAAACGTTTAATTCTCTGACAGGTCCAGACCCAACGTTCAACCCGAATCTATTTTCCGAGGACGAGGAGGAGTCGTTTCAGGAGCTTCAAGCTGCCACCAGAAGCACTTCCGAAGCGCAGCCCCCTCCGATTGCCCCGATGACCCCCCGCAACGCTCGACTCAACTCGAATCGTCCAAAGTCTCAAATCTCTAACCAGTTCATGACCAACGAACCCTTGCCACCGACCCTGTCCAGGGTGGAGAACTACGAGAACGAACTGCCCTATGTAGACCTGCAGGAGATGGGCAACCTGTACGAGAACCTGAGGACCGCACCCCCGAACTCCTACAGAACCCCTCCGAGACACAACCCGCCCAGATGTTGCGACGTGCCGGCACTGCAGTCCCCGAAGAACGCGGTGGCACCCACGCAGACCATAATCGCGACCTCGAACACAGGGACGGATTACTCCAATAACATCCAGCGAATGAAGACGGCTCTCTCTGACCAGCAACCTGGTTTGGTCAATAAGAAGGAGCTGGAGAACAACAAGTTCAATCAGATCCAAGACGACAAGCTGAGCAGCTGTCCGTCGACTATTATACCCATGTCCATGCACAATGGGCAAGCTGCGGGCACAGAAGCGTCCAGCAGCCACGTTTGTCCTCAAGGGTCCATCGTGAACGGTCTGGACGGCAATGGTCAAACGATCTTCATGAATGGTTTGCACATGGCCTGTTCGAGCAACGTGAACGGTGTTCAGGGTAAAGGTGTGGGTGGCTCTTCGAGTGGTCTGCCTCTGGCTACAAGTTCTGCTCAGTACGGACAGAGCAATGGTCCCTTCAACAAGAACGGTATACACCTGGGCAGCAACCACTCGCCAGCCTGCTCTTATCAGTTCCCTGAGAACATCGATCAGTGTATCGGGCAGTCCTGTCCGCATTGCAGTCTGAAGCTGAAGGACTTGAAGTCCCATGAGTTGTGCGGGAAAATGAGTGCTAGCTGTGGATCCACCGCGGGCAGGGTGGACGAGATGTGTTTCATCGACGAAGAGGCTCACAGCGAGCTGGAGCCTTTCGAGCAGTCGCGAGCTGTTCACAGAACTCCGACTGTCGTCAGCATTGGTCCTCTTTATTTGAACGACTCCATAGTGAGGAGCTGCAGCGTGGGTTATCTAGACATGGTGGACGCTCAGCTGGTACCGTGTGACGTTGCCCTGAAGATGCTGAGGAAGGAGGCACCCAACAAGAGGCTGGTGTTGGTGTCGAGGAAGACTAAGAGGAGGAAAAAGAACAAGGCTCAGCAGGAGATCACTCAGCAGAACTCGAAGTCACCGAGACTCCGAAACTGCGGCAAATCCAAGAGTCTGGACTCCAGCGACATATTCCCGGCTAACGAACAAATTGCGCTGCCGCCGAAGTTGCCGGAACATGTGGAGGAAGCGGCTGGAGCGGCCAACTTCGAAACTGTTGAGGATAAGAGCAACGAGTCCCTGGAGGATCCAGATATCATCGAGGGATCCAGCGAGAAGAATGTTGCATCTAGCCTGCCTAACCCCGTGGATGTCAAATCCTGTAGACTGAAAAGTTGTAGCTCACCTGCTAGGTAAGTTGTATATTTTTATGGGAATTATTTTTTAGTGTAAAGTTGAAGAGTATCTGAGATTATGTACTGGAAATAGTGTGACATTTTGTAATGAGATTTATTTCTAAATTTTTGGAGCACTCAATTCAGGTACCTAGTACAATTCTGAATGGTTTGGTTACGACGCAAGGATTAATATTACACTTGAAATTTTATTGCAGTTCTGTTCATTATGCATTTTATGCTTTCAGAGGATCAAGTCCAAGTGGATCTCTAGCCTCATCATTGGATGGTCTCGCAGCGAGACTTCGAGATTTCGATGAAAGTCATTCTTTACCTCCGCCATCGCCTCGTCCATCGTCCAGGTAAATTATTCATATAACTGTGTTAATTTATTGACTAATGTTTGAATGAAACTACTAATTATTCTACGAATGTGAACTTGCTTATTTGATAGATTATATTAGATACTTAGAAATATAAGTCTGATGATTCAATAGACGAGCTAGATACTCTACTGGGACTAGTTACGCTATTCTTTACCTTAGAAATATACGTAGTTACTTTATAAGCCTACTACTAGCTACTCTACTACTTAATCCAAATGTAGACTAAATGTGGACCACAATTTTTCCAGATTACCCAGGAGTTCTCCTAGCAGTCCAGCGCCGTCTAAGAAGGGAAAACGACCTGCCTCAGCCTCGCCCATCAGAAGAAGACTCCTATCAAGCCCCTTACTGAGTAGAAAAGCACGAAAAAATCGGGGTGAAAGTTCAGACGAGGAGGGTCTCCTTCAAGATGATTCGTCGACGAATTACAGGGACCTTGAGACGTTCCAGAAGGCGCAGTTACGTCAAAAGGTGTGTAAAAACTATAAATAAACTCGATCTAAATCAGCTTACTAAGATTACATAATCACTTGTGAACTTCAAAGTCAATATTTTTGTAAAATTCTCTAAATTCTTTCACACAAGACATTGCATCTTTTACTACCGTCACATGACATAAATTCTGCACGAATTTAACTGCATGACATTGTATACAAACTCAAGCATCTCTTCTGAGAACCGCTTTTATATCACCGTTACGTGACAATGAAGTCACAACTCCGTTTGAACCCAACTATTTATAATCCGACCCAAAGCGAAATGTCAAGTTTAATTCCTATTCAACCAAATCTTCATTTATACGTAACAATGATAATTTGTAGTTAAAGCAAAAAGGAGGAGGATCATCCAGTCACAAATCAGAGTCAGTGAGAAGGGAACTCGTGATGCACAACAAGGCGCCGATGTGGAACGAGTCCAGCCAGGTGTACCAACTTGATTTCGGTGGCAGAGTAACTCAAGAAAGCGCGAAGAACTTCCAGATCGAATTCAAAGGCCGACAGGTATATCTTATAGCTGTTCTATTTCCACGTGCGATGAAATAACGGATCTGTTTCGATTAGGTCATGCAATTCGGAAGGATAGATGGGAACGCCTACACGTTGGATTTCCGATATCCTTTTAGCGCTTTGCAAGCATTTGCCGTTGCCTTGGCCAACGTTACACAACGCCTCAAGTAATCGTTAGTTGCCGGTAATATTTTATTTTTATCATCTTTGTGTACATCTTGTAACTTTGTTAACTCATCAATCTTTAATTATTGCTATCTGAAATACTTCAGATACTCAGATAACGTATGTTAATAATCTATAACATTTTCAAACATGATTCTTTAAGACAATTAATGAAACACGGTTTATTGTGTTTAATAAACTTATTTGTTAACGAACTTGTTTAAACAAATTGTTTATCAAATTAAAAACTTGTTTATTAAACAAGTAGATTAATAACACTAAATTTTGTAATAGAGAAGTTGCATTAGTGTTTTTAATTTTGCAGAACGTTTCAGTCAAGATAAAAATTTGGACGAAAAATATTACATGATTTCATTAAATCTATATTTCTAAACAATGTATTGCAAACATAAAACATTTTTAATGGAACGCTTCTCACTAAAGATTCTACCGTTAATTTTCAGACCTGTAATTGGAAAAAGTACCAGGATGCTGTACATTACATAAAAGTATTCGTCCAGAAAATGAAGAACAAGGTGAAGAAGAAAAAACCTAGCGAGCCATAGGGAAGCTGAAGCTGTAACGATACGCTACGCATCTAGAATACTAAAGACCGAAAGACAAGTTAAAACTACAGCTTATAAGCATGTAATAGAGCCACATGTCTTTCGATTATTAAAACTAGTGACGGGCTAGAAATAAATCTTTAAGTAAACGAGCGTTATACACCACGAGCCGTCTCCGCGACGCGAGATTTTCCCGCCAAAATCTCGAAGCTGAAAACACATGGCCTTCCGTTGTAGCGCGAAAAAGAAGAGCAAAAAAGAAAGACAAAATCTCTCGAGCCGTCGTGATTTTAAACGAGAGAATTCGAAAATCCGAAGAGAACGAAAGGACACGATGTGTCACGTGGTACCATGGAAAGGGGAAAAAAAAACTAAAAGATTTCGTTGAAATGCTTCTTCGTCGTACCGTCCAACAAAATGTATTTCGTTTCTCCCAACTTCGAGCGCTCATTTTTGTATAGTTTATGCGACACGTTGGAGTCTAGTAAATGCTGTTGAAAGTTCACCTCGTTCATTTTTGCGGTCCGCCGGTCGTATTCGAATTTTACATACAATATATTATTATTGACGGACTCGAATCGCCGCGCGAGCCTTTCATGTTGTTCGATTAAATGTTTCTTATGGCGTATTATAAAAGAAAAATGAGAAAAATGACAAAAAAAAAGATAAATAAAATCGGTTAACGATTACGCTAAATGATATAACGTTTTGCGTCCGGGGCCTGTGTTCGTCCTCGTCGAAAACGGAACAGACGAACTATTTCGGGCAATGCGAGACAAACGCGACGGGAAATATCTCGCCTGTATTGCCAATGTGTGCACGCATCAAAAAATTAACTGTCGTCTGTACTTAATCCACGATCGTTATATTTCTATTTGCCTAATTGTAAGTAAACGTGAACGAGAAAGGAAAGGAATGATCCAAAATAAATAAAGTGTGCTCTTCGGCTGATATGACGTTTTAACGCTGAGAAAATTCGATGTATTTCGATTATATTTGCTTTAAATGTGCTTAATTTAAGTTAAAAAATTATTGTAAGTTCAGTTTTTGTTGTTTAGACGTCCTGATTGATAGGCATTCAATTGTAAATGTTGTTAAAGTTAAAGTATTTTGTAGAAAAATGATACGAAAATGTTTTATTGAATGGAGCTACGTAATGCGCATGCGCTGACTAAATATGGCGCATGCGTGTACTACTGCGCATGCGCATTAAGCATATACTGTATTTTATTCAAGAAAGTATATTTTTATTTTATTCTTTAGAGATACTTAAACTCAATATTTTAATCTTGAACAATTGAAAGTAAATTTATAGAACTTGCCATGAGATTTAAAAATTTAGCCTAAATTCTGAATACAGCTAATCGAAATACATTGGTACATTTTCTAGCGCGAAAATAGTATTTCTAACTGCTGGAAGGATTCAATCGCGTGTCCTTCCATTTGATGGCCATATTGTCCTGTCCGCTAATTAAAAGTAAAACAAACAGAAATTTTAAAAATATTAGAGAGTCAATACCAAATTAAAATTGGAAAAATAGCATCAGTGAAAAAATTGATAAAAATCCATAATAAACGTTTTCCCATAAACTTTTATACAAGAACATAATCGAGATATATAATTTTAACGATGATAAGAATGATACGTTCAATATAGTATCAAAAAACATCAATTGCTATTATATGTAGACAAGTTATATTGCATAATTGTATAGTACAATGTAGTTTACAGATTTGTTAAAAAGTATGTAAAATATTATTTAATGATTGTGTGTATATTCTATTCACAAGTAAATTATCTCATTTCTATTTGTGTAAATATTAAACAGAAATAATCCAATATGGCCGTGGCGTGGAAGGCACAACAGCGACGAAAATGAAACTTCTAAAACATACTTTATCGATTTTATATCATAGAAGTGAATATCGATTTCAGGCCTAGGAGCGCTCAAGCTCGGTTTTTCGTCGAGCTGAAAATTTTGAGAATATGTCGCCTGGAATGATAATGGCAGGCTGGATATTTTGTTGGGTGTCGTGTGAATACAGTATCGAGTCAGCTTCTTTAGGAAAAATTAACTTCATTAACTTAAAAAAATTTCATTTAATATATACTTTGTTGATGACATTTTTTAATTACATAAATTATTCTTAAAGAGGAATTTTTTCTAAATTAACAATTTTTAATATTTTCTTGTGCTATTTTAATAATGATCAAAGTATTCAATCATATGGAAATATTATTTTTATGTACATCTGTCTTCTTTTAAACTAGTTATTTTCCCTAGGGAAGTCAACCATACTTGTACATGTGAGGTATAGCTGATGAATAACGAAACGAACTTTAAATTCTTACATGCTAAATATTTTGCAATGCTTTGATATGCAACGAGTAACATAATATTGACGTTATGTACTCTATACTGTAGAGTATCATAAAAATCTATATACTGAAATCTTAAAGGCAATATCGATTATCCACATTCTAAATAATTTATACCCCCATTTTGATCAGTAGATCACAATACAGCGGTAGTTACATAAATCCGAAAGAAAAATATACAGAATGAAGTTAAAATGTAGTCCCAAATTACAGTTCCAGTCTCGTTATTTATTGGCTATACCTCCTACACGCATACCACCAGTGCCGGATTAATCAACAAACAAGACAAGCACATATTGAAAGCATCAAATGAAGAGGCACCCCAGGAATTATCTAAACTTTGAAACCAATGAATTTCAGTTTATTATTGAACTTTGCATCAACTACAACGCTAAAATAAAATAAAATTGTGTAATTCAAAAGGAAAGTTAAAATCTTTTATTGGGAGGGAATATTTTTCTAAATATATTGGTAATTTTCAATATAACAGACAATTCGTGGAATTAATATTACAATTGAAAAATTTAATAATTTTTGTAAAAGCACTTTGACAGATTATTGAAAGTGTCAGAATGTGAATCACCAAGGGTCCTCAAATATTTAATGTGCTCAGGGCCTTTAAAGGTCTTAATCCGGCACTGCATACCAGCATCGATGTATCTAATTTCGAAACTGTGCAAACGCCTATCGAGAGACACGCGAAAGAAATGGCTCTACATATGTACAAGGTGTTTCAGAAAGAATAGTGAACACCTTAGAAAATGACAGAACTATTTCGAGTAAAAATTTGTTTATAAACATGCATATGGAGGTATATTAGGTTAAATCAATAATTCAATTTCTTACTACAAAATTATAACTCCCATTATTTCTTCGAAAAATTATTTTTGACTGAGGTTTAAGATTGCAAGTGTAACACAGTGCCATTTTTGTTTAATAGAATTTATCTTGTAGCTCCACTCAATTCTGAACAAATCTACTGTACAATAGAATACGTTTCCATACAAATTTTTACTCGAAACAGTCCATGCCATTTTGTTAAGTGACTACCATTTCTGAAGCAGCCTGTATACACTTGGTTTCTTCTAAAAAGCTTGGCGCCTCTTATACCGGTTGTAATCGTATTTTTTGCAGAGATATACACGAACCATTTTAACGAGCCACGATGTGGGGCGAGCAAAACCGCGAATATTTACATCGTTCTTTTTTCGACAAATGTTTACAGAGTTTACCGATCAGACCGCCCCATGTTCGCGAGTTAGCGATAAGTATACAGCTAACGACGGTAACCGTCGGTATATAAAACTGCTAAACTACATGGTTTCTTTGGTTTCTAGACAGAGTTGTATCAAAGTAGGTACAACAAAAGGCGACACGTACCTTTGACATTCGGCAAAGTCCTTTAAATCGTATGAACGCGCGGGAAATTCAAATCGAACGAATTTAATTTCACGTCAACCTCTAATAATTAGAAATCTGTCGTCAATTTTCTGTATACTAATACTGGCTTCCGAAATTACATCAATTTTACGACATTGAAAAGTTGAAGTGAGGCATACTCTACAAAATATATTTGAATATTGCAGAAACGATTATTACGAATAACTTGTAAAGAACTTATTACAAGAAAATGAACGTGTTACAAGGAAATTAAATATTTATTACAAATTACCGGTGATTGTGTTACAGAAAACGAAATATTTACTCGTATTACAAATTACAAAGAAGTAACATAGTATTTCTTATTATTTAATTATCAAAGTATTCTAAAATTTCTCTGTCAGTGTCGCCTCTTGCTGTATCTACTCTACTGTATGTTGAAATTATTTAAAGATCACCAGTAGCCATTGTTGTATTCGCACTGTGAGAAACACGAACCGCAAACTCATAGAGAGATGGTGTCCGTTTTGATTTTAGCGATGAAGGTTCGAGAAGTGCAACGAGAGTTTTGGATATATTATAAGGGATTATATATACTTAATTCATTACAAAGTATAATTTCAAACTATTTCTGTAACAAAAATTGATTTTCGTTTGAAATTGCATGCAGGTACTTGTGTCTCACGAGAAGTCGCAGCCGAGAAGCATGAGGTTTAGCCTTCTCGTGAACACAGGGTACATTCTTCGTTAAATTTTAGTCATAAAAATTTGAGAAAAATATTATAATTTCTAATAGACTATGTGTACATATTTATTTCTTAGAAGATATTTTGCAAAATTGTGATTTTCAATTTTATTCTCGAATTTTGGAAAAGAATATACAAGTCACTGTTATTATTTTAAAAACTACTTATTATTTTCAAAGCTAGAATTATTTTGAAACCTAATATTTACTTCGAAAGTTAGTAATATTTATTATTTTAATTTTGCATTTGCAAATTAATAATTTTATTTTAAATATGTGATTTTAGCTGACTCGACTCAATATTAAAAATTTGTAAAATTATTTATGTATAATCTCTTATTATAATTCGGAATGTATTGTAAATTTTGCTATGAGTTCGCGAGTTTATCGGATTTTCTATGACATCGTTGCAGAATTATGTTTATTTACAAGAACGCATGCATCGTTTCCTAAGGAATCATCCTACGAAAAGAAGAGAACATGCGAACGAATGTAAAAATGAAAAATAAAATACGAAAAGGAATAACGAAGTCAAGAAATAAAGAATCACGTTACGATGAAAGTTCCACGATGGTAAACTTTTATACTTGCACGAACTTTTGATATGGAAAGAACCGCATCAACGTGACCCAATTATTTTTAATATATCGTATATACATGTATATACAGGGTGACTCAAAAAACATGTTTTCAGTGAAAACTGCAATTCTATACCAAAAAAAAATTCGAATGCTTTTTAATATTTTATAAATTGTATTCACACTTTGAGCGTTTTAAAAATTGGACAAATTTAAATTTTAAGAAATCTATTTTGAAAATTTTCAATTTTTGAATTATTCAATTTTTGGATTTTTCAATTCTCAAGTTTTCAAGTTATAGAATTTTAAAATTTTTCAAATTTCCAGTTTTCAAAATTCTCAAAATTTTCAAAATTTCAAAAATTTCAAAAATTTCAAAAATTTCAAAAATTTCAAAAATTTCCAAATTTTCAAATTTCCAAATTTTCAAATTCCCAAATTTCTAAATTTCCAAATTTCCAAATTCCCAAATTTCAAATTTCCAAGTTCCCAAATTCCCAAATTTTCAAATTTTCAAATTCCCAAATTTCAAATTTCCAAGTTTCCAAATTCTCAAATTTCTAAATTCCCAAATTCCCAAATTCCCAAATTCCCAAATTTCCAAATTTCCAAATTTTCAAATTTTCAAATTCCCAAATTTCAAATTTCCAAGTTCCCAAATTCCCAAATTTTCAAATTTTCAAATTCCCAAATTTCAAATTTCCAAGTTCCCAAATTCCCAAATTTTCAAATTTTCAAATTCCCAAATTTCAAATTTCCAAGTTCCCAAATTCCCAAATTTTCAAATTTTCAAATTCCCAAATTTCAAATTTCCAAGTTCCCCAATTCCTAAATTTCCAAATTTGTAAAATAACAAATATCAAATTTTCAAATTTCCAAATTTCCAAATTCCCAAATTTCAAATTTCCAAGTTTCCAAATTCCCAAACTTTCAAATTTCCAAATTCCCAAATTCCCAAATTCCCAAATTTCCAAGTTTCCAAATTCCCAAATTTCCAAATTTCCAAAATCGCAAATTCCTAAATTTCCAAATTTGTAAAATGACAAATAACAAATTTCCAAAATCCCAAATTCCCAAATTCCTAAATTCCCAAATTTGTAAAATGACAAATATCAAATTTCCAATTTCCGAAATTTGTAAAATTACAAATACCTAAATTTCCAAATTTCTAAATTTCTAAAATTAGAAATATTTAAATTTCCAATTTTCCAAATTTCTAAAACTAGAAGTACTAAATTTCCAAATTTCCAAAATTCCAAAATTTCAAAATTCTAAAATCTCAAATTCTCAAAAAGCCAATTTTCCAAATTTCAAAATTTCACACATTTAAAAACTCTACCACCTAAAACACAAAACACTCAAAAAGACATTACATCAAGCTTACACCTCAAAAACGAGGACTAGCATTTCAAAATAGTAAACAATCTTCCACTTTCTGTTAACATAGAAATGCTTCGGTTTTCACGGTGTACATCTTTTTTGAGAGAGCCTGTATACGTCTTTATTGCATCTCCGCCGAACAAAACGGACTTCAGTCACGCAATAGGCATTTACGTCAAAGACAATTCTTCGTATACAAACACGTTCACAATTCTTATCGTTAACAGAGATACTCCAAAAAAAATTATACATCTCTATTAACGTTATTATACATATTGCTGATCACACGATATCGCGTGTTCGATGATTAATATCCGATCACGCGATATCGCGTGGTAGAGTAAGGATATTTAAACGTGGCGGCACACGAGTGTCTGTCAAGCCCGATGTTGACACGTCATGTATCTCTTTGACGAATGCCTATGACGTAAGTCGATGTGCACATCAGAAATCATGTCGATTTCTGAATTGAGGTTATGAAATAAATTCGATAACATTTGTAATCGATACGTTTCGATCGTGACTGATTTCCAAAATGTTCGGCCTAGCTCAAGAGTCAGACCATACATGTTTGTCGACCCATAGATGGTAGAAAATTGATTCTATTTTCCGTTGATATGTCTTATTTATTTAAACAAACGTAACGTTCGAGAATAATGCTTAATACGAAAACGCTGTGTCACGTGTGAAACCTTGCGACTGAGTATACCGTATGTATATCGATTAAACGACACGATTTACATAGTGTGCAAATAGTATCAGTATTGTTTTCTCTCTCCTACAGCGGGATTGTTGATTTTGTGGTCTTAGCGCTGAATGATCATTCTGTATATGCGTAATGCAATTTTGTTACCGAGTACAATTGATGATTATCAGATATTTGTAAATAAAGAATGAAATTCTATATGGCCGATACTATTTCCGTTCCCCTTTCTTGAACAGATCACCTTGACTCAGAAAATATCTAGCATATTTTCGAGAAATTATTTTTACGAAAACAACAAATTTCAAAGAGAAAAGAATTTTTGCTGTGCAGAAATAAATTCTCAAACGTGTGATATTTTTGAACTAGTCCACGTCTACTTATAACAAACATTCGTTACACAGTATTCGCAATATCGCTGTATAACTTCCGGAGAAAGATTCAAAACTTCTAACTTTCTAAATTAGTATCTATTTCTAGATTTTTGAATGTTTGTACTAATTTAAATCGAAGCTACATATAATAAAATAAGAATAATAATATGTATCGACTAATTGTATCAAAATATATTAAATTAAATTAATAAATTAAAAGTACATTACCGATTCACCACCTGCTTTCAAAAACGGTACTGCCAGCGCCACATAGCGGTGGTACACTAAGTTACATTCAAAATGTAAGTTACTGAAGTGTTACCAATTTCTTAACTATTGGCATCCCTGCCATTTAAAAGACTAGTACTTCACGCTATACGCGTCGTACACAGAAAGTTCGTTCTATTGTGTCATCGATTTGTATTAAACATGCAACCGCAGGAAAGGTGAGATACATCTCATAATGTACGGTGTACAACTTTCTGTAGACGCAGAATGACAAATATGTGAAATTTGTTTGTAGAAAAAAAGGGGTCATTCTATTTTAGGCGCATCCGGTGAAGGCAGCTCTACCCCCACGGGTGGGGTCTTCTGTCATTTAAAACCAAAGAAGCGGATGAGTTATGTTGATCACATAAGAAGGAACGTAATACAACCATGGCACGACCTATTGTACCTAGTCAACAAAAGTTGGCTGAGAAGCTGACTATTTTAAATGATAGAGGTATTGGAATGTTAACCCGCATTTACAATATAAAGAAAGCGTGTGGTGATGCAAAGTCAAAACCTGGTTTCCTCTCCGATAAAAGTTTAGAGTCCTCTATCAAGACAATTGTTAGGAAGTTTCCCAATATCGATGTTAAAGGATTACAGACGATTACGAATCTTCGTAATGAGATTATAAAATCTCTGTCATTGTACTATTACACGTTTGTGGATTTGCTCGATTTCAAAGACAATGTCTGCGAACTTTTAACTACGATGGATGCCTGCGGTGTTCACATGGATATCACGATAAATTTTGATTTAACGAAAGGTTATTTGGATCTTGTTGTCACTTATGTCAGTTTGATGATACTTTTGTCGCAAGTGGAAGATCGTAAAGCAGTTCTAGGTTTATTTAATGCAGCCCATGAAATGGTACACAGCCAATCTGATCCTAGTTTTCCACGATTGGGTCAAATGATTATGGATTATGATGCGCCACTAAAAAAGCTTTCAGAAGAATTTGTACCTCATTCAAAATTGCTGAAAAATGCTCTTACTTCTTTATGGCCTATTTATCCTGGAAGAAATTTATCGGCAGACACATGGAGGGCAGATCAAAAGCTCAGCCTTGTTGGAAGTCCTGGACAAATACTTAAAGCAGCAGCAACAGACACTATGTCCTGTGAAACTTTAAGTTTAGACAGAATAGAAAGATGGGTTATTTTAGGCTTCACGTTATGTCATACATTTTTAAACCAGGAACAGCCTAGTAAACTCTGGACCACAGCTTTAGAATCAGGCTGGGTTCTGGCCTTATTCAGAGACGAAGTAATTTACATACATCAGTACATACAGACATTTTTTGAAAGTATAAAAGGATACAGCAAAAGAGTATCCGAAGTGAAGGAATGTTATAATCAGGCAGTACAAAAGGCTGGTTACAGACACAGGGAAAGAAGAAAATTTTTGAGGACAGCTTTGAAAGAGTTAGGTTTAATTTTAACCGACCAACCTGGTCTTTTGGGACCAAAAGCTCTATTAGTGTTGATGGGACTTTCTCATGCAAGAGATGAAGTTCTGTGGCTTTTGCGACATGGCGTGAATCCACCTACACAGGGAAAAGGTAAAGGAAGGGGAGGAGAAGATTTGGTGGATCGTCAGTTGCCAGAATTATTGTTTCACTGTGAAGAGTTAAGAGCTTTAGTAAAGAAATATTCTCAAGTACTTCAGAGGTACTATGTACAATTCTTGTCAGGATTTGATGCCCCTGCTTTAGATCAAATGATACAAAATTTACCAGTTTGCCCTGAAGATGAAGGGGCAATACTTAGTGATATGTGTTCTAAGATAGCTAGTCTAACAGTAAAACAAGTGGAAGATAATGAATTGTTTGATTTCCGTGCTTTCCGATTGGACTGGTTCAGATTACAAGCATATATGTCCATAGCAAAATGTAACATGAATTTGGCTGATAATCGGGAATTAGCGTCTTTCATGGATACTGTAGTATTTCATACCAAAATGGTAGATAATTTGGATGAAATGTTAGTGGAAACATCTGATCTATCAATCTTCTGCTTTTATAGTAAAGTATTTGAAGATCAATTTCACATGTGCTTAGAATTCCCTGCTCAAAACAGATATATCATTGCATTCCCTTTAATATGTAGTCACTTCCAAAGCTGTACACATGAACTTTGTCCAGAAGAACGTCACCATATTCGAGAAAGAAGTTTATCCGTTGTGAACATGTTCTTGGATGAAATGGCCAAAGAAGCTAAAAACATTATCACAACTATATGTGATGAACAATGTAACATGAGCGACAAACTGCTACCAAAGCATTGTGCTGTACTGATCTCTCAAGTTGTTAATCGAAAGAAGAAAGATAAAAATAAGAAGAACATGTATGAAATCCATAAACCTGGTATAGAAAGTTACAGGAAAACCAGAGAAGAGCTTACTACTATGGATAAACTTCACATGGCATTAACAGAATTATGTTACGCCATTAATTACTGTCCCACTATCAATGTGTGGGAGTATACCTTTGCGCCAAGGGAATATTTGCATCAGCATTTAGAATCAAGATTTGCCAGAGCACTTGTTGGTATGGTCATGTACAATCCAGATACTAGTGAGATAGCTAAACCATCTGAACTCTTCGTTAGCGTTAGATCTTACATGAACGTTCTTCAGACAGTGGAAAATTATGTGCATATAGATATTACACGCGTATTTAATAACGCTCTGCTTCAGCAAACTCAGGAGTTAGACAACCACGGTGATAAAACCATTGCTGCCCTGTACACGCAATGGTACTCTGACGTTCTGCTGAGACGTGTCAGCGCTGGCAATATATGTTATTCCAGTAATCAAAGAGCATTCGTTAGTTTATCAGTAGAGGGTGCAATACCCTTCAACGCCGAGGAATTTTCAGACATTAACGAGCTGAGAGCGTTGGCCGAGCTTATTGGTCCATACGGTATGAAGATGTTGAACGAAAATTTAATGTGGCACATAGCGAGTCAGGTACAGCAACTGAAGAAGCTGGTTGCCGGAAACAAGGATGTTCTCATTGCTCTGAGAACAAACTTTGACAAACCAGAAGTAATGAAGGAGCAGTTCAAGAAGCTGCAACAGGTAGACAACGTGTTGCAACGAGTTACGATTATAGGTGTAATTTTAAGTTTCAGACAGTTGGCACAGTCTGCGTTGGTCGACGTCCTGGAAGAACGTATACCATTTCTTCTGAGCTCCATTTTGGATTTCCGTCATCATTTACCATCGGGTGATCCCATGCGCGTCGTTTCGGAGATGACGTCAGCTGCAGGTCTAACCTGCAAAGTTGACCCTACGTTAACAGCCGCATTAAGGAGTCAGAAATCAGAAGTAGACGAAGACGAGCATCTGCTGGTTTGCTTATTGATGGTCTTCGTGGCCGTTTCGATTCCTAAATTGGCTCGAAACGAGAACTCCTTTTACCGAGCGTCTTTGGAGGGCCACTCGAATAACATACACTGTATGGCTACAGCGATAAATAATATATTCGGTGCATTGTTTACTATATGTGGACAGAATGACATAGAGGATAGGATGAAAGAGTTTCTTGCTCTGGCGTCGTCCAGCTTGCTCAGACTCGGTCAGGAAGCTGACAAAGAGGCGATCAAGAACAGGGAGTCTGTGTATCTGTTGTTAGATCAAATTGTTCAAGAATCACCGTTCTTAACCATGGATCTGTTGGAGAGTTGCTTCCCTTATGCGTTGATACGCAATGCATATCATGATGTATACAAGCTTGAACACTCGCAGCCGTAAATTATTAACAAAGTGGATGCGTATTCTTAACTTGCCACTCAGGGCCATTTTTTTACGTCCAGTTTTATGGAGTCGAAAGCATTTTTATTAAAAGAAAGGAAGCTATGAAAGTGGCAAAATATTCTTGTTTAATATATACCGAGTAAGATTTGTTTTCTATGCTGCTTAAAACAAATTTGAACGATGTCGAGGTGTAAGTCCGTTTCGGGATGTTATTTAAGTCCGGAAGGAATGGAAAGTTTGCGCTAATTTATTTGAAACAATGCATTTTGTATAGAAACAGTACCTTGTATTTCATATTTGATACCTGGCTTAGGATATTCTATGACTTACTATATAATACAATTTTTCTTTCTCAGTATTCTATTATACACGATCCGTACGTAAGAGAACGACGTTTTGTATTAACATTTTCAATTGTAAAATGCTGTCTGTCTTCGAATCGAAATACGTATCTTAAAATAGGTATCGCCTCGATCTGCTACATTTTCTAATGTACAATTGTAACTTTTACAATAGTTTATAAAATAAATAAAATTATCTATAAAACTTTCGTTTATTGTGTGAGCTGCTTTATTTTGCAATTAACATTTCAGCAAGACATAATACTTTTTATAATATATTTTAATATATTTTACATTAAAATTCACATTTATAATGAAGTACCACGATTTAATATGTAAGAAAGATATAAAAGACAATAGTTCATTGTAAAGTTATTAGTTTAAAAAAATAAAAGCAATTTGAAAGTCTGTCTTAAGTGTAATTTAAATTTTCGCGCGCTATTTGAACATGGCACCATCTAACAGTCAAGTCAGACACTACGAAAATAAAAAATTACGTTTTTTCTTCAAATAAGAAATTTTTAAGTTCTGCTGATGATCACAGATGGTTTTACAGACGTAATAAAGTAAGAGGAACAGTTTTACAGTGTATTGGAAGCTTTACATTCGAAAATTTAAAAATTTCAATTCACGGACGTTAAAAAGCCTCGCCATCTAGCGGTAGGACGCGGGAACTAACGAAGTAGGTGTTCCAAATAGGTGTAATTCACCCCGTTCGCCGGAGAGATGGCGCTGACGAAAAGCGCGCGAAAAATATAAACTTTGAAATACACATTGCGCTAAAACTTTCAAAATTCTATTATTTTCTCGAATTAATTACTTAATGATGCCCTACAGTCTTTTATATCATTTTTAAGTATTAAATGCACTATTCTTTGAATATAAATTTTATAAAAAAACTCGATTGAAGCTTCGATTATGAAATTACAATATTTTCAGTTTTGAACCACGGCAAATAACATACTCGCATAAATGTAAAATGTATGCTTTATTTAGTTCTTTACAATGTTTTTGTTTTTCTCTTTAATCACATTAACGTAACACAAGAGATTCACAATCAGATTCCTTTTTATTTATAATATTCTTAAAACACTCGCCACGGTTTCTAGACATTTTTTTAAGGGGGTAGGGTTGGAAAGAGAGAGTGGTGGTCTGAAGCTACGTTCAGGCGATTGGTCAGTATCATGCTCAATAAAAAAGGACTCGACCAAAGGAGAAAAAAAAATATCCGAAAACGTAGAGCTCGTGTGAGAGAGAGTGAGGGAAAGAGATAGTGATTGTACGATGAATTCGATCAACTCAACGACACGTACTACGGCACGTATGAAACGTAAAGGCAACTTGGTGATTTTGATGATGTTCCAAGCAACACTTTACACAGAACGTAGAAATAATATCTATACGGCTAAAATGATCGGGTACGGACAAATAAATTCGATTCGAGGAGCAACAACTAATATTCGGATGCACGATGTTGATAGGTCACCACATTTTTGGATCGATAGAAAAAATATAATCTTCGATTTCTTTTTTGTTTCTTCCTCACCTAACATTATGTACAAGTGATAAAGTAGTGTGCATGTTGCGTCACGGTGACGCAACGTCTGGATTAAGATACTCGAAACGAGGTTCTGCCTTGAATCCGAACGTCGCTCGAATTTTTCCCTCCGTACAAATAATCACGGTTTCGCTACTCGGTTATCACAAAAGAAGACGCGCAACGAAACGCACCCGTTATCGATATATTAAACTGTAGTACCAAAGTCACCGAATCTCAAATATCAAGTATCAGTATTTTTGTTTCTCATCAAATTTTTTCACAGTATTATACTTATCTTCCATAATTCTAAATACAAGTATTTTCAGTTAGGTGAACAAATTTTCAATAAAAATCTTTATCATTCACAAGGGTGACAAAGGAAGCATTCTGTGTTAGAAGTTTAAAATCTCTGAAACTAATATCATACCATTTGATGGTCTACCGATACCATTTGATATTTGGGATTTCTACAAAGAAGTACTTTGGTATTACAGCCCAATAACGCAGAACTCGATCTTAATCCAGACGACGCAGAAAACGAATAAGCTTAAGCATACGCAGTTAGAGGCTTCTCGGGTGGGGACAAATGATGAATGCGGAAACGTACATTTGTTTCATTGAATCGTTATGCTTTTCCTTTCGTACGGGCAAGCGACTTCTTTCTAGATACTAGTACTTGGCCCCATTCCACGCTCGTCTTAGGCTCCTCCTGTTCTCAGTTCCCTCTAGATCCTGCTGCGCTCTCTGATCGTACATTCAGTCGGTTGAATCTTGTTCGTATGGCAGTGAAATGGAACCAAGGATAAAGTTTACTCGTTCAACAAACGCACCTAAATATTCTTTCACTTTTGTTCGAATGGCAGTTAAGGTTCAGCTTGCCGAAAAGTCTGAGAAGTTTTCCGATACAGTGTCTGTACTGTTAATCATTGAACGGCGAGTTGTGAGACCATTGGCACGGATGTCTGAATTTAAATATAAAATGTTACAATGGAAGAAAATGTAGTTTTTTAAAGTGTAGAATGGAATACAAATGTGGAGGACATTTTAAAAACTTTACGAAGAATTTTGATGGGTTTAAGGAAAGAAAATGTTGCATTATTCTAAGTTTGATGAGAAAGTTGTAAATTTGTGCAAATTTAATATATTTCACAAACTGCCAAATTGTTCAGTTAAAAAATTTATAATTTTACAATTATGATTTTTTAATTCTTGTGTTCCTTAAATTGTTCAATTTTCAAGTCTTCAAATTTGTTAAATTGTTGATGTCCAAATTTGTAAAACCTTAAACTCTTATACCCTCAAATTCTTACATTCTCATATTTTTCAGTCTTCAGATTGTTGAGTTCACAAATTAAACTCTTAAATTTAAAAATTTTCAAATTGCTCAATTTCCAACGCACAAAATTAAAAAAATTGCAAATTCGTAAATTCACCATCCATCAAGTAATTCAATTAATTTCTATTATAATTAAAGTAAACATTATCGAGTATATTCGGTCGGCGCCATTTTATCGTACTCGCATCATAAACTTTCTCATCACATTTCACGACAAAAACATTTTTATCGTTCAACAAATATTCTCCAAAAATACTGCAAATTTTTTCGTTCACAAAGGTATTCAATTTTATCTCCCTATATTGCCGATGTCTCAATAACCCGCCATACAACGGTTAATACTAATCGATTTACAGCAATCTCCTTTATAATAGTTTTGACAAGCTGTTCGATTTTTCTCCCTATACACAACTACGAATGGCAGTAAATTCATGGGTCATCCATGAACCAGGTTTATTAGAAAGAAATAAACTAAATCGCACCATTATCGGACGAGCGATTACGAATGGAACCAAAACGGAATCCCCGTTGCATCTATACGCAAGAAATTTCGAAACTCCTTAAATAATCTACATCGAACGATCCGTTTTGCACGGTGGATCGTCGTTAAAAGTCGTCACCTTAAAAACCTAAGGGCTCGATTACACACACGTACAGGCATTCGTTCGTCATCCTTATAACCTCCGTCCCGATTACAAAATACAGAATAATATTTCGCTATAATACAGATTTGATATAAAAACAAGTATTTTTTTTTTATTCACTTTACCATTTGTTATGGATACGGATATGGATACATGTATGCATATGTAGGATGTGTCACAAAATCAGTTATTTAATTCTTTACCATAGGTGAACATTTTTTCAGTGCTTTTGATATTCTTTTGATAGAATTAATTTTTACATTAATGCACTTCTTTCATTTTTATTATTTTTTCTTTTATTTGATATACAATCACTGTTTTTTATTTTTTCAAAAATTTACAAATTCTTAATATCTTCAAACTTAGAAATTCTCCTCTTCAAATTCTAAAATTGGGAAAGTCAATTTAGAAACATAATATATTCACATTTGCAAGTTTCAAAATTTACAAATTTGGTAATTTAACAATTTAAAATATTCAGTATTTAGTAATTTTAGATATAATCACTTTTCAGTAATATAAAAAATATTTGGACACCCAAGTTTCAAATTTTACAGATTTACAAGCTGTCAGAGTCCAAAAATGTCCAATTTAAAAATACAACACCTTGCCTCTTAAAATTTTTAATTAACGCAAACGTGAATGAAATCTCCATACAAAAAAATATTTATAAAAAGTCTATTCTCCCTGATTCCTTAAAATTTTAATTACGCGTGAAACTAAAAGTGCAGCTACAGGAGATAATTAGATGACTGACTTTCCACATCCTTATATATACACGTATACATATATGTATCCATATCGATATATAATTATCGTTTATGTATATATTTATATATAATATCAATATATGTACACAGTTTAACACTCTCTCTTCTTTATTCTTGCACGCCCGTCCTTTTCTCTCGGATCATCTCTTCCGTTGCCTCTTCTCGCTTTCTCTCCGTCATTGGATCTCGCATGACCCACATTTTTTGTTTTTTTTTTCTCATTTTTATAATCACATTGCGACTATTGTACATTTCCACACGACCCGCAAACTCGTATTTTCAGCGATTTTGGCAGAGACACCTTTTATTTATTATCATCCCTGCGAACGTTGTTTCCTTCTGTCTGACACGACCGTATGTGAAAACTGTTTCGTTTCTTTTCAGCGTCTAAATGAAATCTATGTCTCCTTTGAAGAGCGTGTAAAGCTAGCTGTCGTAACATCGAACAATTATTCAACGACATCCCTACGAACGATATGGAACCAGAAGAAATAGAAAAACGTGTGACTTTCCAAAAAGGAAATTGGCAAGCTTATTATCAAAAATACGAGGAGAAGAAGAACGTTAGAGAAGTTAGCGGTAAACAGGAGTTCCTGAGGGAAAGAAAATTGCGCGAGAAAGTTCGACGAGGGACGAGTTGAAAAGAAAAAAGAATGTTCAGTCAATCGCACGTACTTTGTTTTGGCGTCTCGAGAAAATGAATCGACGTACGAAATTTCTTCTTATACGAGTATGCAGCTGTGTACGAATATGCTGCTTTATTTTCGTTTTTTTCGAGCCCATATATTAAAACATGTTTACATTTTGAGAGGAGGGCTCGTCTTTGGTCCGCCATGCGCGTTTATTTAAAAGCGCCTTTACGGTACAGCCCCCGATAATTTGCAAGTTAAAAACCGTATTTAAATATAATTTATAACATTCGCGGTAGCGGATATAAATTATCATTTGTAATAGATAACTAATCAATAATAGTAATAGCAATAATAATAATATAATAATAAGCATAATTATAATAGAATCAATATTAATCGATTATAATTCTCGTCGAAATAATCGTTAATAGAATATCGCTATAAAAAAATGAAGAAGAAATTTTTATCGTGTTATTACTTTTTCTTCCGTATTCATAGTCTCTCATAGCTCTGCTCGTTTAAATTGGCTAATAAAAATTAGTATAAGAATATCGTTAATTATTATGCTATAATGGTAGAGATCAAGTGAATGACCTGCAATAGTTTGGTAATGGTGTGCGTGCTTCGCTCTAGAAAGTGGTATAATGGAAAATAAAAAGATCTCAACATACGTTCAGTATAGCTTACGTGTATCGCTAAAAAAATTGTATCAAACATTTTGGCATTTGTTATCATTAGAATAAAACTCACTAACTCTTAATTAAAATATTCGTATGGAAGTAGTTTAAAAAATCTGTCGTTTAAAATCATTCGTAATTAAATACAGTGGTGGTCACATATTTATGTCCAATTGTTTATCCGAACAATGTTTTGTTAAAATGATTAACAGAAAGTTAACTCCAATTTGGCAATCTTCAGATAAGCTTAATTTACCTTAAAGAAAGGAAAAATGTGGTCTGACAATGAATGTCATTAATTCATAAAATAAAATGTTATAAATTATCATGCGACTTAAGCACTCATACACAAAATATTAAAATAATATCAAAGACATTTACCTGTACATTCTAAACTTTGAATAAAACACTAATAATTTGTGTTTAATGTTTCAAATTTGTTAAGATACAGTATGTCTTGAAAAATATCTCAAAGAACTTGGGTTTCTTTTTACAACTTCGTAGTTTTTTATAAAATGTCTTCTGCTAACATAACCTAAAATTCAGTACATGACATATTTAAGTAATTTCGTTAGTCATATATGGCCGCCACCGTATACAAAGATCATACGTAAAAGTTAAAAGACACAAAGGTACGTTCAGTGGGAGCATTTCAAAAATTACGTTTATCATCCTAACACTTATTCCAAATATATATTGTCATCTCCGCTCTCCCCTTGGACTTCCCTTTCTCTTCTAACGACCAATTTCATCGTAAAGTCAACAATCCAGAGCGAAGTACACGAGTATTCGACTTCACCAAGAAATCGAGGCATAAACGCTACTACGCAACATTGGCCATAAATGCTCTTATATCGAACGACAAAAATACGCTGCGTTCAATTGTTATCGTGATAATTCATTGCTGTGCGAATCCAGCGTTGTTCACAGAAACAAATCTCCGCAAGTTCGATCGACACGTGAAAGAATCTTGCTGGACCGGGAGAAGTCCATTTAAAATGCTATGTGATGTTTTTTTTTGATCGACACGCGGATACTTGATGGCAACACACGGAGGAATCTGCGGGAAACATTTAAAAAGACGAATTACAATAAAATCGTACGATAATATAACCTCCTAACGATTTGTTAGTTCACGATCTATCACGTCCCGAACGGCTGTCCTTCGTAATCGTCGTCCGCGACGACGTCCTCCGCCGACCTCTTCAGCTTCGCAAAACGAGAAGTCGATATATCACCATTGATCAATAATAACACACTTCACCAATTTACAATTACGAACCGGTCCCTGTCGCGCGAATCATACATCTCAAAATAAAAACATCGGATCAGCGATCGTCGATACTTTCAAATGCACACGATCCACGTTGATGCGTTCCTCGGTCTTGATCACGAGAGAGACATCACGATGCGTCATCTGGATCGGCTCGTTTTCACAGTTTGGCATTGAACAATTTATGGTACGACGTCCAGACCATTCCTCGTCCTTATCGGTTCTCTAGGATCGTCACACCTTATTGTGATGCCTCATCTCGTAGGCTGCGGACCTCCCCCCTCCCCCGGAGCCCGAATAGGCGCCGGCGTACAGTTCGGGATGGTTGGACCTGCCATAATTGGGTGCTGCTGTGCCGCTGCCGGGTGGCGCACTAGCTGTGGGAACCGAGCGATAGCCTGCTTAAAGTTTAGAAAGATATTCGACTATGAACAAATATGTTAAAGCGCACAGAAAACAAAACAAAACAAAGGATGTACCATCGGGAGAGGTACTCGCAAAATGAAGCCTCGCGATAGCAGACTATAGCGATCATGCACTCCCTGTTACTTTTTCAAGTAATTAGCAAGATGGATCTACCGAGCTAGCTCCACGTCTACGGAACAATGGAGCGAAATAAATGCAGAAGCGGATTAATAAACGCTATCGACATTAATCGAACTAAAGCTTCAACGACTAACGTTGAAATGCTACGTCAGAGAATTAGGAGCAAATACAAGAACTTGGAGCGAGGTGAGAACACGTTAATACGCGATATTCAACAACAAAGACTTCCGGTGAGAAGTCTGCTGGAGCCTTTCAACTTTGCTCTACATCAGATTCCTTTGGATTCGTGAATTTGCTCCTATCAAAGATTATTAATTATAGGCCCCAGCTCACCTCTGTAGGTCATAGAACGATAGTATCAGGTAGTGATGAGCGTCAATCAATGCGAGGGAGATGCAAACAGGAAAAAAACATTGATGTAGTTGCGGATCACACAGGGACAAATACAAAGTGGCAAGCTTTACAGTTTGAGTTTGATTTTAAGACTCGAGAGAACTACAATCAAACTCAAACGGTAGCCGCCTTGAAAAGTAACGTAGCTATGGAGTTAACCTACCTTTTGGATAATACTGAGCACCTCTACCTTCTCCATAACCGTGCGATGGCCCTCGAGTGCCGTTGTGGCCACCTTGACCTTGCCTCGGAGGTATACTTCTGGGTCCAGCACCACCTCCTCCGTGTGGATGTCGCTGTTAAATACACGAACAAATTATTTCCAATTCTCAAAAATTGAAATACATATGTCATTCAAATGTTATATACCATTCTTCTCAAGGTGTTCATCGGTCTCCTCAGAGTGTCACTAATACGTCTCGCTGGGGGTTTCTTAGGATTACTAGAAGGGACCTGCCATAATTGGGTGCTGCTGTGCCGCTGCCGGGTGGCGCACTAGCTGTGGGAACCGAGCGATAGCCTGCTTAAAGTTTAGAAAGATATTCGACTATGAACAAATATGTTAAAGCGCACAGAAAACAAAACAAAACAAAGGATGTACCATCGGGAGAGGTACTCGCAAAATGAAGCCTCGCGATAGCAGACTATAGCGATCATGCACTCCCTGTTACTTTTTCAAGTAATTAGCAAGATGGATCTACCGAGCTAGCTCCACGTCTACGGAACAATGGAGCGAAATAAATGCAGAAGCGGATTAATAAACGCTATCGACATTAATCGAACTAAAGCTTCAACGACTAACGTTGAAATGCTACGTCAGAGAATTAGGAGCAAATACAAGAACTTGGAGCGAGGTGAGAACACGTTAATACGCGATATTCAACAACAAAGACTTCCGGTGAGAAGTCTGCTGGAGCCTTTCAACTTTGCTCTACATCAGATTCCTTTGGATTCGTGAATTTGCTCCTATCAAAGATTATTAATTATAGGCCCCAGCTCACCTCTGTAGGTCATAGAACGATAGTATCAGGTAGTGATGAGCGTCAATCAATGCGAGGGAGATGCAAACAGGAAAAAAACATTGATGTAGTTGCGGATCACACAGGGACAAATACAAAGTGGCAAGCTTTACAGTTTGAGTTTGATTTTAAGACTCGAGAGAACTACAATCAAACTCAAACGGTAGCCGCCTTGAAAAGTAACGTAGCTATGGAGTTAACCTACCTTTTGGATAATACTGAGCACCTCTACCTTCTCCATAACCGTGCGATGGCCCTCGAGTGCCGTTGTGGCCACCTTGACCTTGCCTCGGAGGTATACTTCTGGGTCCAGCACCACCTCCTCCGTGTGGATGTCGCTGTTAAATACACGAACAAATTATTTCCAATTCTCAAAAATTGAAATACATATGTCATTCAAATGTTATATACCATTCTTCTCAAGGTGTTCATCGGTCTCCTCAGAGTGTCACTAATACGTCTCGCTGGGGGTTTCTTAGGATTACTAGAAGGAGTGTGAACAGCGCAGCATTTGATGAACAGTCCCATGAAAATGATGAACGCTATACCCATGAGCAATACTGCCCACCAGAATTCCTAAGAAAATCATTCATTTTATTAGAGAAATTAGAATAACATAAGTTAGGATATATTGTAAATATAGTTTGTACTTACAGTCACCCATTGAGCTACCGTAAGCAACGTCTCTTTGTTAAATAAAAGATTCTTCAATCTCGCTAACGGTCCCTCAGCATCTACAGCTCGGCACTTCAGAAAGACATCACAGTATCCCTACAAAAATGAATTTGTTTTTAATAAATATAATTGAGGACCATGCAAGGTTTTAAACCAAATTTTTTACCTGAAAGTTATCACAGGGCGATCCAGGTCGGAGACTAATTCCTCCGTCAGGTAAACCAACAACGTGAGCAAATTCGCTGGTACTACGACAGGTAGATGGATCGGTACCATTTTGGCAGGCTAATTCGCACAATTTACGTTTATCGATGTTCGGGATCACGTTACTCGTTAAAAAGCATTCCGTCAAATTCCACTCCAGACAAATTGATCCCGTACACTCGCCGTTGATACATAACTGCAAATTGTTAAACGTGAAAATCATTAATTACCTTATATTCATATTTTATTGGTGTTAGGCTGTGTTGGCTTACATGTACTTTTACAAGGTAGATGTGAATACAAGTTTTTTATTATTTTACTGATTTTCTGAGTTATTGATTTACTGACTTTCTGACTTGTTGAGTTACTGACTTATTGATTTATGGATTAACTACCTTAATGATTTATGGATTAACTGATTTACTGTTACATTGGTTTATGGATTCTAAAATGGAAGAGCCATATTATTACCTGAGTTCCCTCGTTGCACCTAGTTTTGTTGGCCCTCGGCAATGGCGGAGGGCACTCGGAGGATCGTCCGTTACAAGTTGAGTTATAACTACAATCCGATTCCGCCTTACACTGAACATTCCTCGAGAGGGGTACGAATTGGCACGATTCGCTCGAACAACAAGGTCCTTGACTGGGGCTACAAAAAGAATAAATCACCCGGTTATCACAAAGATCCACATATCACGGGATTTACAAAGCGTAAACCGGAATAATGTGTACCTGCATTGTGTACCGAATTTCCTGGTACAACCTTTAGCCGTCTCGTTCTTCATTTTGTCCAATTCGGATACCTGTCTCGGGTAACAGCACTTATCAACGCACTCGTCGTCATCGTAGCCGCAATCGCATTCCTCTCCAGCTTCGACGATCTTGTTACCGCAGAACGCTCCAGCAGACGCTTCATAATAAAGAAGAAACTCGATAAGACGGGCTTTCGATTCGTGATTACAGCAGAGGGTAACGATATACGTACCGGTGAAGCAATTTCTTTTCTTGTTATCCTCGATGGCGTCTAACACGTTGCTGATATTGCCGATGCTGCATTTAGAGAACTTGCTGTTATTTGGCCGGTCTCCGCTGGTTGCCGATGCGAACATGATAAAATTCCCGTGCAAACCGCCGGGTCTACATTCGGGCGGGAAATCGTGCTGAAAATGAGATTCGGTTTATATAGTGTGTTAGGAAAGTAATTTCATTACGCGTGCACGACGAGAAGTCCTCCGAAAATTCAGGGACAATTGGTTAGGCTATTACAAGTATAAGCAGTAATTATTTATCCAAGTATTGGACTGGTATGAAAGAGAGAGGGTTATGAGACTGACTTCTTTTTTGTAATGTTTGGAGTGACTTCTTGTGAGGCACGCAGGGGTTTATAGTTAGATGCACTTTAAATTGATGAACGAACATTCCATGTCTAATAAATATAGTAATAATTAATGTAATTTTAGTTTTATCTTTAATAATTTTAATCTTATCTCAAATATAATCAATAAAATCAAAAATAAAAATATATCAATAAAACAGAATTAAATAATATTTAATACAATGAAGATTATATTAAGTTCGAGTGAATAAATTAATGTGGCAATGAATTCTTACAGGTGATCCAAAATTATGTCCGATTTCATGGGCCAACGTTAACTGCGACACCTTCGGTGGTACTCTGCTGTTGTAATTAACGAAAGTAATGATTCCAGTGTTGAGAGACCTCTTGGTTGATTGATACATTCCTCCTACTGTTTCCGTGTACGTTTTGTATTTTTCACAGATACCACCGGATGCACCGGAAGCCGAGGCTACCCAAGCAAGTCCGAGAGTACCGCCAGTGAAATCTCTGTTAATTATATAGATGAATTGATAACACGATTCAACTACCGATACTGTAGATTCATATTACATCGCCATTTGTACGTGCATTATGTAAGAATGAGGTTAATGTAAGCTTGAAGATTAAACAAAAAGAATTGATGATTTATTTAATAGTTTTGCCTACTCAAATTTTTACTATATTGCATATTTCAAGGATTTCATTTATTGCATATTTCAAGTATTTAATATATTGCATACTTTAAAGGTTTAATAGATGGTTTACTTTAAAGATTTGATATATTGCATATTTCAAGTATTTAATATATTGCATATTTCAAAGGTTTAATATATGGTTTACTTTAAAGTTCGGATATATTGCATATTTCAAGTATTTAATATATCGTCAATTTCAAGGATTTGATATATTGCATATTTCAAGAATTTCATATATTACTTACTTTAAGAATTTTACATAACGCCTATCTTATGGATTTAATATATTATTAGCTTCGAAGTTTTTGTAAGTCCACAAAAGGTAATATAATGAGAGTCCACTGTACATACAAGATAATGATTCAAAAGATAGTTTGAAACTGTTACGACTTTTTTATCTTTCTTCTTAAGGTTTTAAAAAGGACATCGAGGAGATTAAGCATGAAGTAGAAGTTGGAAAAGTTTATTTAGAAAATGAGCGTTCCATGTAAAGGAAGTTTACATGTTTCAAGACACTTTACATTAACGTAATGGGTTTTGAGACATTTAGGTTTATTCCCAACATTTTAATAGTAAGAATATACTGTTAAAGTTTGAATAATTAAATGACTGAATTTGAAAATTTGAGGATTTAAAAATTTTGAAACTAAACATAAAAAATTTGACAAATTTGCAACTTCAGGAATTTACATCATCTCTAAAAAAATTCAAAACCCAAGATCTAAAAAATGAAAGAATTTCGATAAATTAAAAATTTCAAGCTCTTAAACCAGAATAACAAGACTGCACATCGTATGCATAGCTGAAATCTCTTTAAAATTGATCGAGGTACGCGATATCCACCATCACCAAATTAATAATAACCGAGGCTGCAAATCCAGGTCCTTGATAACCGTTTTCCATAAAATAACACGCATGACTATTACCCAGAAACCTAATATTTGACGAGCACCGAGCTAACAATTATCATAAATATTATACGGTGTGGTAAAATATGAAAATACAGACGAACCAAAAATATCGACGGGGCTATTTAATGCATCTGCACCGCGTTCAATCTAATCCGGATCGAGCCAAAACGTTCTCGTATATCACGTTTTACTGTACCTGTATGTGAACACGTATGCGAGGCAGAAGTCTTCATGGTTCCCAAGCGAGTGCAAATTTAAAAAGTTGCTAACGTCGATATTCTCCATGCAAAACGGATTCGGTTCACCATACGTTTGCTGCGGTGTACAGGCGGTATCGTCGTCGATCTGCTCATACAAAATATAGTCGTTTAGAATCTAAGATAAACATTTAAATTAATGTTGCAAACATTGGATGTTTAAAATTGTTCAATATTTAGATGGTATACATATGCAAGATATTTTTATGAAATTGATTCTGGTGTATTTAGATGCTTTTGAACAGTTTGTATAAAAATTGTACAGCTTCATTGAACCTCTCAAGTAAGTACTGAATGGCTTATTTGAATATCCCACATAAATAATGAATGTGTTATATGAACATCTTATATAAAGCATTTTTCAACATCTCATACTGAACCTCATATGTAAATATCTCATACTGAAGCTCTTATATAAACATCCTATATTGAACCTCATATGTGGACATCCTATACTGAACCTCATATGTGAACATCCCATACTGAGGCTCTTATTTGAACATCCCATATTGAATCTGATATGTGAACATCCTATACTGAACCTCATATGTGAACATCCCATACTGAACCTCATATGTGGACATCCTATACTGAACCTCATATGTGGACATCCCATACTGAAGTTCTTATTTGAACATCCCATACTGAACCTCATATGTGAACATCCCATACTGAACCTCATATGTAAACATCCCATACTGAAGTTCTTATTTGAACATCCCATAAACACAGAATGGAGTTTCTGATGAGATAAGGTAATAGTGGATGTGATTACCTTAATCCGTTGCACCTCGAACTTAATATTTCTGTGCTTGATCCGTCCATCGAACCTGGTGTCCCTGTATATGTAGTTGACTGCAGTGACGTGGTGGGCGATGAGAGACAAGATCTCCTCCCGTGTCTTCTCAGCATCGTGATGCAGCTGAAAGCGAAGCCGAAAACCGGTGGAATTCAATATTCCGCGAAACTTCACGTGCAGCAACGGCGAGCAGAGAGTTTCCGCATAAAGAGATTTTTATAACGGCGCAACCGGGAAAGAATGGCCGGTCAAAGAGAATGCAGAGATGGAAATATTCCTTGAAGGCAAAGGACATCAGGAATGCAGAGGACGTCTAGTTTAGAGGGAAATGCGAAATGAAATTACGCCGGCTGCCCCCCATTACCAACGAAAAGCCGTATGAATGTGGCTGCAACAGCAGAATGGTAGGTATGCAGGATATTCGACGATTGTGCAACGAATTATTGCGTTTCTTCCGCGAAATTTCGAGGTTAGGACAAAAAATCAGGCTGCTTATTGTTCTTTGCTGAAACGAAGCGCGCGCCACAAGATGAGTTCCTGGAATTTGGTCTGCTTTCCTGTTTCTCCTTTTAGGAGGCTGCGTGACCAGAAAGGTTAAACGATGCAGAGAAATTCCGACATTTTTACTACTTTCTTTTTTAATATCGTGTGAGAACCGGGGCCATCGATGGTTTCGGTCCCGTAAACGATCGCGTGACTCTGTGCGACCCTTTGTTTTTAGTAAGGAAGATAATTTGTTACCGAAAGATCTCTAAAAATGTAAGAGGGTGGTTTATTGGAGGAACGTTTGAAAATTAGGTTATGTCACAATTAGTCACGTTAATACAATTTTATATAATTTATTTCTAATACGACGCAAATTATTATTTATTGAATAATGAGCATAATTTTAAACCAAAAGCTACGGTCTCTAAGAGGGTGGTTTATTGGAGAAACGTCTGAAAATTAGGTTATGTCGCGCTTACTGGCGTTAGTACAATTTTACACAATTTATTTCTAATACGGTATAAATTATTATTTATCGAATAGAGATAATTTTCAACCGAAAGCTACGGTCTCTAAAAGGGTGGTTTATTGGAGAAACGTCTGAAAATTAGGTTATGTTGCGCTTACTGAAGATAGTACAATTTTACACAATTTATTTTTAAAATGCCATAAATTATTATTTATCGAATAGAGATAGTTTTAAAATCTCTGAAAATATAAGGGGTGTATTTATGAAACGCCTGGAAATCAAATTCCATCACTCAGCTTATTTGTGTCCAAACAATTTTACACAATTTATTTCGTCACACCATAAATTATTATTTAAGGACAGCTGACAATTTTCTGAAAATGCTCAGATCTCTAAAAATATAAGAGGGTGGTATTCATGGAACGTCAGAAAATTGGATTCTATATTACGTAGCTTATTTAGGCTAATATGTCACTTCTATACAATTTATTCCTCATATACTAGAAGTTATTATTCGACAAATATTTATTAGAATTTCCTACCAAAAGCTCAGAGCTCGAAAAACACAAGGGGTTGCTATATTTATAAAACGTCTAAAAATCAGGTTTTACATAACACAACCTACATAAATCAATTTCATACAATTTATTTCTCACACACTACAAATATTGACCATCAGCTTCTGTTAAAAATTTAGAACTCTGAAAACACAAGGGGTTGTTATATTTATGAAACGTCTAAAAATCAGGTTTTACATAACCCAACCTACATAAATCAATTTCATACAATTTATTTCTCACACACTACAAATATTGACCATCAGTTTCTGTTAAAAATTTAGAACTCTGAAAACACAAAGGGTAGGTGTATTTATGAAACGTCTAAAAATCAGGTTTAACATAACCCAACCTACATAAATCAATTTTACACAATTTATTTCTCACACATTACAAATATTAACCATCAACTTCTACCAAAAACCCAAAACTCTGAAAACATGAGGGGTTGATATGTTTGCAAAAAGTACTACACTATTTTTGTTATTCAGAACTCATCTTGTGGTGCGTATACAGTGTTCGTATCGATTAGTATTGCATCTAAATAATTTACTTACCTGTTCGGATATGTGTCTCCATATGAGGGGATCAGTTTGAATGAAGAGGGAACAGGTATTCTTATTATCCTCCTTCGGTCTGGTTGCCCTACGCGTTCTCCGATGACTAGGTTCGTTAGCTTCTCGAGAGTATTTGTGACCGGGTGTTTCCTGATCGCCATTCCATGGTTTCACCGATGGTGTCGGTTTCCTGACATCCGTGGTTACGGGAGGAGAAAGCTCCGGTTCGCCAGAATTTTGAATTCGTTCCATCCATTCCACAACATCGTCGGTGACCCCGCAGCCACTGGTTTCCCCTGGGAAATGTTATTGATACGTGAATTTATTGTGTTGGGGGAGAATTATTGTTTGTAGGAATGGGTGGAGGGATGTAGTTGATATACGTTCTTTGATGTAGTTGATGTAGATTTTTTTAGAGGGAAATTTGAGGTTTTGGAAATTTGGGAGTTTAGGGATGTGAGAGTTGAAATTTGGGAGGTTAGGGTTGTGAGAGTTAAAATTTGGGAGTTTAGGGATGTGAGAGTTGAAATTTTGAATTTGGGATGTGAGAGGGAAGTTTGGGAGTTTGATTGGAAATTTGGAGATTTGAGAAGATGGAAATTTAGGTAGTTAGAGAATTGGATGTTCAGGGGGTTGAAAATTAAGAAATTAGAGAAATTGGAATTTTTGAGATTAGGTAATTGAGGGAATTGGAAAATTGGATATTTGGGGGGTTGAAAATTAGGAAATTTGAGAATTTGGAAATTTTGAAATTAGGTAATTTAGGAAATTGGAAAATTGGATATTTGGGGAGTTGAAAATTAGGAAATTTGAGAATTTAGAAATTTTGAAATTAGGTAATGTAGGAAAGTGGAAAATTGGATATTTGGGGGGTTGAAAATTAAGAAATTTGAGAATTTGGAAATTTTGAGATTAGGTAATTTAGGAAAGTGGAAAATTCGATATTTAAGGGCTTGAAAATTAAGAAATTTGAGAATTTGGAATTTTTGAGATTAGATAATTGAGGGAATTGGAAAATTGGATATTTGAGGGGTTGAAAATGAAGAAATTTGACAATTTGGAAATTTTGAGATTAGGTAATTTAGAAAATTGCAAAATTGAATATTTGAGGGGTTGAAAATTAAGAAATTTGAGAATTTCGAAATTTTGAGATAAGGTAATTTAGGAAAGTGGAAAATTGGATATTTGGGAGGTTGAAAATTAGGAAATTTGAGAATTTGGAAATTTTGAAATTAGGTAATTTAGAAAATTGCAAAATTGAATATTTGAGGGGTTGAAAATTAAGAAATTTGAGAATTTCGAAATTTTGAGATAAGGTAATTTAGGAAAGTGGAAAATTGGATATTTGGGAGGTTGAAAATTAGGAAATTTGAGAATTTGCAAATTTTGAGAGTAGGTAATTTAGGAAATTGGAAAATTGGATATTTGAGGGGTTGAAAATTAAGAAATTTGAGAATCAAAAAATCTTGAGATTAGGTAATTTAGGAAATTGGAAAATTGAATACTAGGTGGTTGAAAATTAAGAAATTTGAAATAGGTAATTTAGGAAATTATTAAATTGAATATTAAACTTGAAAGACTCTAATCTATAACACGAAACAAATTAAAAATTTTTTAAACACAAAAATTTAGCTGACAGACAATTTCAGCAATTACTTCTTTCGCAAAAGTGTTTCTCCTATTTTTCCCAATTAAATATCAATAAAATTTACCACCTAAAAACATAATACCAACCAACAATCTAACAAATATAATTATTAATAATGACCTAACAAAAATCTCTGACGAATCTACTGTAAGAAACTCCCTTTCTTGTTTGAGAGAGTCTCTCAAGAGACATAATCTCGCTTTTCATCCTCAATCAAACAAAACTCTGATTTGAAAAGCATTTTGAGTCTCCGTTTCATCAGATTTCTTGCACGAACAGTAAAGTTGCAACGTGACGGAAGTGTCGATGTACGGTTTAATTATTCGCGTAATTTCGAAATGCAGGGAGGCAGGCATTCGCGAGTAGAAACCGGATGTACGGTCATAATGCGCCACGTAATGACAAACTTAACCACTTCCCCTTGGTTCTCGTATCGCCCGTAACGACGATGCTATTATTTTGAGGACGTGGTCAGTCATCTACGTATGGGTGTGAAATCGCACTTCCTCTTTCATCGAGCAACACTCGTTGCAGATGGGCTTGATCGCAACGTTGCAACACTTTTTTTATGAACAGACATTTATCGGGTCGGTTATTACAGTTTCCTCTGTAACGGGATTTCTATCGTTTCAGCTAGCGGAGAGCGATTTTCGGAAATGGTTGCCTTTTGTGGTATGTTGCTCTGTAATTCCATATTTTCTTTTTTTGAAACGGGAGTAATGGAGTTTAACAATTTTTTGGTTTTTTGATACATTTGTGAATGGGGATTTGATTGTAGGTACTTTTTTATCACTTGTAATAGGGTTAGATTAGGTTAGGTTATAATAGGGTTTGGTTAGGTTAAGTTATAATAGGGTTAGGTAAGGTTAGGATATAATAGGCTTTGGTTAGGTTACGTTGTAATAGGGTTAGGTAAGGTTAGGTTATAATGGAGTTAGGTTAGGTTATAATAGGGTTAGATTAGGTTAGGTTACAATAGGGTTAGGTTAGGTTAGGATATAATAGGGTTTGGTTAGGTTAGGTTATAATGGGGTTAGGTAAGGTTAGGATATAATAGGGTTTCGTTAGATTACGTTGTAATAGGGTTAGGTAAGGTTAGGTTATAATAGGGTTGGATTAGGTTAGGTTATAATAGTGTTAGGTTAGGTTACAATAGGGTTAGGTTAGGTTAGGTTGTAATAGAGTTAGATTACATAAAATGTGTATTTGGTCAATATTTTTAAAGTAGTCTTTAATATTATTTTTTGTTTTAGTCGTGACGAATTCATACAAGTTTTTAAAATATAAATTTGATAATTTTATAGTAATATTACTTTTTTTTTTATTTTCACTGTTTTGACCTTTGGTACACTTGTGTGTGAGATTATTAATATGTTCTTTCATTTGATAGCACAGTTAAAAAATCCCTAGATTCACAAACATTAAAGTTAAAAAATTGCAGAAATACCTAAGTTCTAGACTCGAAATCAAAAAGTTATAAAATTGCAAAATCTAGAAAGTAAAGACTATTCAAATATTAGAGCTTTAAAATTAAAAAATTGAAGACTCCTAAATTCTTAAGGGTCAAAATTAAAAATTCTCAAGTTCCAAAGGCTCAAAATTAAAAATTCCCAAATTCTAAAGCCTCGAAATTAAAAATCCCCAAATTCCAAGGGCTCAAAATTAAAAATCCCCAAATTCCAAGGGCTTAAAATTAAAAATCCCCAAATTCCAAAGCGTCCAAATTAAAATTTCCAAAATTCTAAAGCCTCAAAATTAAAAATCCCCAAATTCCAAAGGGTCCAAATTAAAAATTCCCAAATTCCAAAGACTCAAAATTAAAAATTCTCACATTCCAAAGATTCAAAATTAAAAATCCCCAAATTCCAAGGGCTCAAAATTAAAAATCCCCAAATTCTAAAGCCTCAAAATTAAAAATCCCCAAATTCCAAAGCGTCCAAATTAAAATTTCCAAAATTCTAAAGCCTCAAAATTAAAAATCCCCAAATTCCAAAGCGTCCAAATTAAAATTTCCAAAATTCTAAAGCCTCAAAATTAAAAATCCCCAAATTCCAAAGCGTCCAAATTAAAATTTCCAAAATTCTAAAGCCTCAAAATTAAAAATCCCCAAATTCCAAAGCGTCCAAATTAAAATTTCCAAAATTCTAAAGCCTCAAAATTAAAAATCCCCAAATTCCAAAGGGTCCAAATTAAAAATTCCCAAATTCCAAAGACTCAAAATTAAAAATTCTCACATTCCAAAGATTCAAAATTAAAAATCCCCAAATTCCAAGGGCTCAAAATTAAAAATCCCCAAATTGCAAAGACTCAAAATTAAAAATTCCCACATTCCAAAGATTCAAAATTAAAAATTCCTGAAACTTCCAAATTCTGAAGTCCCAGTTTTAAACAAATTTCCACATCCTTAATACTCAAAATTAAAAACCATCAAAACATCATAATCTCAAAAATTAAAAAATCCCAAAAATGAACCCTTAATTTTTCATTTCATATTTATATACAGTCGGTGTGGAAAGTATTCGTACAGCGACCAATTTTAAATAAAATGTTGTGCGTAAACGTCAATTACAAATTTTAAGGGGAAAAAATGATGAATAAATATTCTTGGGTGTTTGTAGAAAAGATGTCGTGAAAACTAAATTTTATTTTCTTCAGGATTAACAAAAATATACAATAAGAACAATTGAATGTAAGAAATCGTCGCACAGAAAGTATTCGTACAGTTATGAATAATGAAAAATAAACTATAAAAGAACAATATATTTTTTATATTTTAATAATTTGTAGGATTGCCTTTGGATTTTATAATAGCATTGAGTCTTCTTGGCATGGAATTTACTAAATTGGATGTTACAGCCGGTTCTATTTTGTTCCACTCCTCTAACAAAGCGATTTTTAAACTTTCTTTTGACGAAATATTATGATTACGTATTTTTTTTTCGAGGTAATCCCATAGATGTTCTATGGGATTGATATCTGGCGATTGAGGTGGCGTTTGTAAATATTTTGGCGTGTTGTATAATACCCATTGCCTTGTATTATATGCAGAATGCTTTGGATCATTGTCGTGTGTGAATATAAAATTGTTTTTAAGACCCATTTTATTTGCACTAGCATGGAGATGTTCTTTTAAAATATCAATATAAACTGTGTGGTTCATAATACCGTCAATAAAATGTAGAGATCCCACTCCATTTGCACTCATACAACCCCAGACTAATACAGATCCTCCTCCATGTTTTATCGTCGGTTGCAAATTTTCTTTTTTGAACTGTGTATTTTTCTTCCTCCACACTGTAAATCTTTTTTTAGAGTTAAATATTTCGAATTTGCTTTCGTCAGTAAAAATTACTTTATTCCAATATTCAATTGGAGTATTAATATGTTGTTTCGCGAATTCTAATCTTTTCTTACGGTTAGTTTCATTTACAAAATATTTTTTTCGTGCTATTTGACCATGATATTCACTACTTCTCAAATAGTCACGCACAGTACTAGCTGACACATCTATGCCAGTGTTGTTTTTAAGTTCCGTTGCAATTTGTACAGCAGTTATACGTGGGTTTTGTTTCACTTTACGAATAATTAGTCGTCGATCATACTCGTTTATCTTACGCGGACGCCCATTTCTCCTTTTATTTGATACAG